ACGAAAACGACGGTTAGAAACTGACACAGACACAAAGACACATGGAGAGACGTCAAATGTGTGAGCTAGGGGGCGGACGACGGTAAATATGTGTCCCCCCGCGCCCCCAGTGTAGGAGTCACGGTTGCGGTTCTCCTGTAGTAGGAACCTCTCCACCCACTCTCTCCCTGTCCTCCTCCCCATCACCTCTTCGTCGCTCGTCTCAGGCGTCTCCACAAAGACAGTGAAGTGCGGAGGAAGATCCTGGATCACTACCTCCTCGCTGCTCCTCGAGTTCGTTCTCCAAGACACCAGGTAGGCAATCTCCAGTCGCCCGTCCTTGTCAAGGTCTCCAATTGCAGGGGTCGAGACAATCATCTCGGGGATCATGATGTGGCTGCAGCGGAGGTCTCTGTCAGAGCTGTTGGAGCTGCTGGAGGTATGGCTGGGGTGAGGTCCATCGTGTCTCTTCTCCCGGTAACCTGGAACTGCAGTCACCAGAGAAATGAGATGTGGAAACGTGTTTCTCATGTGACAACTATATCATGTCCCTATTATTATACATGTAACAATAGATCATGCTCCACCTACATAGTTTAGACGGTAAACTTACAGTAGACAAAAGGTCCTCTAGAGAAGAGAGGAGGGTGAGTGAGACCAGAGAAGGCCTCCTGTGGAGAGAGGATGTACAGAGAGGCAGTCAGCTCCTCCTCCCTCCAGCCACAGTAGTCCAGGAGAAAGGTCGGGAGGTCAAGAAGGGGGTCAGGGAACTCGGTGCCAGCTCCGTCCCACAGTCCTGGGGGGTCTCGGTAGGCCAGAGCCTTCGCCATGAACTCATCGATCTGTGGTTCTGCGTTGTCGTCCATCTCAACAAAATCATCGTCTTCTTCTTCCTCATCTTCTGGCTCTCCGGTGACCAGAGTTGGATCGTGAGGGCCATCGTGTCTCCTCTCTCTCACCTCCTTCTCCAGCACTGATCTCACCTGACAACAAAACCACAACTGTTTCAGTCACTTCTTACATTACTTTAGCAATACAGAACAATACTTTAGCAAAATTATTTTGTGGTTCCCTGAAGTAAATTTTCACCTGGTCAGTTGAGTTGTTGCTGTTGTTGTTTTGTATGGTTCCCATGGTGATGAAAACTGCTGCATCAGCTCCAGGCTGGGTTGCCGCTAGCGACAGGCCCGACATCATCCCAGTCTTGACGGAGCCGAAACTCCAGAGGGTGTCTCCGTTTTGTCCGTCCAGAACGGCGAGTGTGGACTGGTTGTACGTGTCCCACTCTCCATAGTTGAGCCTCACCAGGAGGTCGGGGACCGTGTCCGAGTTGAAATACAGTGGAGCTGGAATACTGGAGAGAGGAGAGAGAGAGAGAAGAGAGACAGATATGTCAAAAGGAAGAGAATATTTGATTCAAAATCGCCAAGAGGATTTAAATGCAAAAACATAGGCAAAATATTTCAATTTTATATGTCATGTTGTTGCTCAAAGTTTGCTATGTAGCTGTAATTCTCACCTGTAAGACTCAGTTCCAGGAGTGAAGACTTCCCACACTACCTCGCCTGTCTCTCCGTTAATTACCAGGGTCTTCCCCTCAAACAAGGACACGACGAGGTCGTCTTGCTCGTCCCCAGTCATGTCGACCACCACAGGAGGCAGCAGAACCCCTTTCTCCTCCCCAGACACCAGACGATGCACACACAGACCAAACCTGTTCCAAACAGGTTCGTGTGGGCCCCAGGACGTGCAGCCAGAGAACACAGAATCTGTGCTGATATTTCTGCCAGGGTCAAAAGACCCTGAGTCAAACGTCGGCCTCTGTTCCTCCATTTCTTCCTCTGACATGTCCCTCTCACAGGGATGGTTGATGTACCCGGTGAATGGAGTGTAATTAGTGTGCCCCTGCGCTGATAGGTATTTAGATATTCTCTCTCGTAGACTGGTGTAGCCAAAAGCCCAGAGTGATCCTGGGAGAGACTCACCACCTGTACCAACTAGCACCACATCCCCCTGTCCTCCCCGAGATAGGTAGACGGGAGAATTGTACGTCTCCTGTCCGTCAGGGAGGGGCACCCTCTCCATTAACTGCTGCCCCGTTCGTCCTGAAACAGCCTCAAGAAATCCAGTTGAGCGGTTGGTGTCACTATCACGATAGGTCGAGTCACCTCCGTGAGTGATGACAATATCCTGGACGTCGTCTCCGTCGAGATCAGGGACAAAGAGAGGGAAGTAGAAGTTGTAGCGAAGGAACGCTAGCCTCGGGTCTCTGTCCCACAGCACAGAGCCGTTGGAGCCACGGAGAGCACGGAATCCACTCTGCCTCCCTGCTGCAATGCAGTCCACCAGACCATCTGCGTCTAGGTCGACCTCACACCGCACGGCAAAGGCATCGTAAGTGACGTTTGCCTCCCACACCGAGGTCCCCGTGAGCCCGTCAAGCACCCTCACCACCATCTCACACTGTCCCCTCCCCTCCACCATCACAAGGTCACTCACACCATCCCCACTCACGTCCTTCAGCTGGAGCGCTGTCTCTGTTATTCCGGGGAAGAAGTCGCGATGCCAGGAAATACTTCTCCTCTCTTTTTCGTTTGGGGGAGGTGGGGAGGGAGATCCTTGGGAAGGTGTGAGGGGTGTGTTCAGTGATGGTGTGAAGGGTGTATCTGGTGAGGGTGTGAGGGTCTTGCTGTCTCCAGCTTCACTCCCATCTTCTTCAATAGGCAGAGATGAAAGAGAAAACAATGTCCTCTCTTCTGCAGTTGGTGGCTCCTCTGATGTGGTGCTTGGTACATTTTTGGTACTTTGTGGCTCCTCTGTGGTAGTGTTTGGTTCTTTTGTCGGTTCCTCAGTGGTAGTGCTTGGTTCATTTGTCGTAGTTTGTGGCTCCTCAGTGGTAGTTTGTGGCTCCTCTGTGGTAGTGCTTGGTTCTGTTGTTGTAGTCGGTGGCTCCTCAGTGGTAGTGCTGGTTCTGTTGTTGTAGTCGGTGGCTCCTCAGTGGTAGTGCTTGGTTCTGTTGTTGTAGTCGGTGGCTCCTCAGTGGTAGTGCTTGGTTTCTGTTGTTGTAGTCGGTGGCTCCTCTGTGGTGCTTGGTTCTGTTGTTGTAGTCGGTGGCTCCTCAGTGGTAGTGCTTGGTTCTGTTGTTGTAGTCGGTGGCTCCTCTGTGGTAGTGCTTGGTTCTGTGTTGTAGCCGGTGGCTCCTCAGATGCAGTAAGAGTTGCCGCAGTAGGGTGTGTGAGGGGAGATGGGGAAACCATGGCGGGGGCTGAGGTAGCAGTGAACGCTGAGGACTGGAGCAGAGGAGAGGTGGCTGACTCGGCTGCGTCGGACAACTGGAACCAGGCCAAGGCGACCACGATCATGGCCGCTGCCAGCAGTCCAAGGAAACTCAGACAGGCTTTCGTCTCTCTGGAGGCTCTCCAGCCGAAGCCTTTCTTCAACCTGACGGCGGGTTTCAGATGGCGCTCCCTCCGCGGCCGGCCCCCTCTAGGGGGCGCGGGGAGTTCCAGGTCGCAGCTCTTGTCGTAGCGGCCGTTCCCGAACTCTGTGGTGGTGGAGAGGGAGGAGGGAGGTGGCTGAGTCGAGGAGGGAGACAGCTGGAAGAGAACCACGTCATCGTCCGAGTCACCCGTCTGAGTCAGTTTGCGGTACTCTTTCCCCGAGGACCGCTTCACTCTCGACATTCTGCATTCAATCACCAGGATAGAGCTCTCCTGCAAAGCCAGAGGTGCTCGCTCGGCAGTTGTTGTTTTTTAAGAGGGGGCGTGATACGATTCGACCTTTGACCTTACCACGCCCCCCTCTGGATCCACGTGGTGACGAGCGCAGACCGTCCAATCAGATAAGACCACATGCACAAAGCCCACGAAACACGACAAAAAGCACTGAACCAGTTGTTTTCCGTGTCTCTGTGTTCATTCTGTGTCTCTGTTTACGTCGAGCGACGAGAGAGAGAGAAAGATGAAGATTTTACTGTTGCTGGCAGCACTGTCTACAGTTTGCCTGGCAGGCGATTATGAGGTGGACGAAGGAGTTCTCGTTCTGACGAAGGACACGTTCAGTGCAGCCGTGGAGGAGCACGCGTTCCTCCTGGTCGAGTTCTGTAAGTTGATCACGTTTTTATTCGTTTGTTCCGAGCGCCTCCTGTTGCATGCGTTGCTAATCCCATATCAACAGGGCTGCATGCATGCTGTACTTACTGGCGCGACCACGTGGTTTAGAGTTCCCGAGCTGTCGCTATAAATGTGAGGCTTGAAAAAATGAAGCGAGTGCAAAGACCCAACACTAAAGTCTAGGTTCACCAGCATGTGATTTCTCTCTCTCTGTGTGTCTGCAGATGCTCCGTGGTGCGGGCACTGCAAGCAGCTGGCTCCAGAGTATGCCAAGGCTGCCCAAAACCTGGAGGCCGATGGCTCAGAGATCAAACTGGCCAAAGTAGACGCCACAGAGGAGTCTGATCTTGCCCAAGAGCACGACGTCCGCGGTTACCCAACTATCAAGTTCTTCAAGAACCAGAAGCCTATGGACTATGGGGGTGAGGAGGAGGGGGTGGGGTTTCAGTTGTGTCTGCTAACCTCCTTAGAGCCCTGTCTGCTTCCTGTTGGTCCTCTTGGCCCTAGTCCTGTCTGTCATGTCTGCTGCGCATGTGTTGTTTGCTATCTTCCTGCATTGGACTAACAAACTACCTCCTCCTTCCTGTCATTTTTCAACCTCTCTTCCTGTAACTTCTTGTCAGTAGTGGGTGTCCTCTCTTTTTCGTATAATCACTCACAGTCAGTGTGCCTTTGTTCTGCCTGCTGAATTTGGCACTTGCTCCTGTCCATTTTCCGCGAAATCTCCTGGAATGCTGTGACCTGTTCCTCTGGTTTCACTGCCCTGTTACGAGGCATAATGTAGTCAAAGTTTTTTGGGCCCAGTGTCCAAATCACCATTTGGCACTTCATCTTACCCCAATCCTTTCAGCTCTCTGAACCCCAATCACTCCTATCATTATCCTCTCCCCCCTGCCAAGGGGTATTGTTGTTCTACTTCAACCTCTCTAACATCCACTCTCCCCCCACTTTCTCTCGTTCTCCTTCTCCTAACAGGAGGTAGGACAGCTCCTGAAATTGTCAACTGGCTCTTGAAGAAGACGGGTCCTCCAGCCATCGAACTGACAGACGTCGAGGCGGCCAAGAATTCTCTGAGAAAGACGAAGTCGTCCTCATTGCGTTCTTTGAGGACTTGGAGTCGAAAGGAGCTCTGGCGTTCAAGGCAGTGGCTGAGATCCAGGACAGTCTGGCGTTTGGCATCACCTCCAGCCAGGAGGTGGCAGAGGCTCTGGGGTGCTCCTTGGACAGTATCGTCCTCTTCAAACAGGTGAGTCACTCGCTGGTGTGGGCGCTTTTACAGTGGAACCCCCCTCTCTAAGGACACCTTTTCTTTCCACAAGAACAGTTCTTGCATGCAATCCTCTCTAATAAAGATGGACAGCTTTTATTTCGCCCCAAAAGTGTATTCTTGCATGCATTTACTCCCTCTCCCCCTCTCCCCCTCTCCCCGCTCCCCTCTCCTCCATAGTTTGATGATGGTAAGGTAGTGTATGATGGAGAGTACATCGCCGAAGACATCGAGTCCTTCATCATCATGGAACAGCTTCCTCTCGTCACCATCTTCTCTGATGATGTGGGTGTGGCTTACTGTCACATGACTGTTGCCATGCCAACACTTCCTTTTCCCTGTAGACGGCTCCAAAGATCTTTGGAGGTAGCATCAGGTCCCATCTCCTGGCCTTCTTTGCCCAAGACGATGAGAATGCAGAGGCAACTCTCGAGGAGCTCAGGACAGCCGCCAAACAGTTCAAGGGAAAGGTCAGTTTTTGGCGGGAAAATTTCATCCGTTTTTGGCGGGAAAATCTCGCAAGGAAAAAGCATGTGTAGCAGCTGATAGAATATAGAAGTTTGCACAAATGGTATATAGGAGGTATTTTTGCAGTCTCCAGCCACAAATTTTGATAGGGAAATTTCTGCGATGGTACTAATGTCTAACTATGCAGGGGTTTCCTGCCTCCAAAGGTTTTATAAAGCCATTTCCCAATATTGTTCAAGCCATTACATCATTGTGTTACTAAATTTAGCCGTTCGTTTGAGCAGGAAAAACTCGCCATGCACCATTGATATGAAGACAAAGTCCTCTGTAATAACATACTTGGTCCTGAGTTCCAAATCCAGTATATTTCTCTCTCTCTCTCTCTCTCTCTCTCTCTCTCTCTGTGTCTGCAGATTCTGTTTGTTCAGATTGACACAGCGGAAGAGGCCTCAGAGAGGATCATGGAGTTCTTCAACATCAAGGATGGAGACACGCCCACTTCTCGCCTCATTAACCTCGAGGACGACATGAGGAAGTATATTCCAGATTTCAATGACCTTACAGCAGATAAACTGGTTCCATTTGTCGAGGCCTATCTCGCCGGAGATCTGAAGGTGAGGGAGGAGGGAAGAGGGGGAGAGAGGACTTGTAAGTCTAAACCACAAAAGTTGACTCAATATAAGTTGTTTTAGGACATGCCATGGGTGATAAAGATAGTTCTACAATGTACAATTTAATTCACGTCTCCAAATGTTTTTGCCCAAAAATGTAAACTTGCAGTATCAGACCTACTCTTGGTAAACCTGGTGCACCTGCCTAGCAAATAGTATTACTTGGCTTCAGTTTCAGTTGACATAATTCATCATCGTCCACTCCCTCCTCCTCCTCCTCCTCCTCCTCCTCCTCCTCCTCTTCTACCCCCCACAGCCTCACCTGAACACAGAGGACATCCCCGAGGACTGGGACAGCAGTCCCGTCAAAATCCTGGTCGGAAAAAACTTTGAGGAGGTCGTCAAGGATCCCACCAAGATTGTCTTCGTTGAGTTCTGTGAGTTTTCAGGACACTCTCTCAGGGCACCTTAACAGGACAACATTTGCAGGACACTTTAGTAGGACACTAGCCCGGCAGTTTAGTAGGGCACACTAGAACAATGTTTTGAATTTGGTGGGAAATTTGTTTCCTCATCGAAGTTTTCTGCTAGAACATAATATAATAATATTGGGAGTCATGAAATGATGAGCATGTCTTGCCCCGCCCTCTGCAGATGCTCCGTGGTGTGGTCACTGCAAGCAGCTGTCTCCAATCTGGGACGAACTGGCCGAACACTTTGCCTCCGATGATGACGTTGTCGTTGCCAAGATGGACGCCACCAAGAACGAGGTGGACGGAGTCCAAGTCACCGGGTTCCCCACACTGAAGGTCTTCATGAAAGAAACCAACGAGGTCAGTGATCAAACAGTGATGTCATTTTACATTCCAACGACATCGTCTTTTGGGTGTAGCTGACAACTAGACGTTCCCTCATTTCATAGTGTTGGAGTGCAAGCGTGTTATTAAGTAGTTTTAGGGCATTCTGCATGTGTATGAATGCCTTTTTGGAAAGTTGAGGAATTTTCCCAGCGCACGCTGCTTCTGTGTGAGAGCACTGAGTTGAGTATCGTTGGGAGGGTATAGTGTACATGTGAACCCTTCCCCTCTGCTAGGGAGCACCTGCTGCTCTGATCGTTCACTAACATGGCCTCTATTTAGAATTGAGACTTGGGACAAAATCCACGTCCAGACTGACAGTAGGGTCGGGACCTCTCACCAAAGATGGTTTTAAGTTGTGCTTCAACAGCTGCATGCATTAGCTGAATACTTACATGTGTTAGTCGACTGGCTTTGCTCCGTCCCCTCCCCTCGTTCAGATGGTTGATTATACTGGCGGGCGGACTCTGGAGGATCTTATTGAGTTTCTGGAGGCTCAAGTAGAGGGAGAGGGAGAGGAAGAAGGAGAAGAGGAGGGAGAGGGAGAGGAGGAGGAAGAGGAAGAGGAAGAAGATGCAGCAAAGAAAGATGAACTATGATCATTGAAGCTCTAGCAGTCACGGGAGAGATTTCTCTTTCTCTTGTCAAATTTAGGAATCACATAACTGCGTCATTCTTTACCGAGTAATAATACCTATATTGTACATCATAAGTTGTAAATCAATCATAGCTTGTAAGCACCCCCTGCATGTGACAATTTGTACATTTCATTTTTCAAGAAAAATTTTGGAACAATAATATTTGTATATAGTGCGAGTCAGTAAATGTCTTCGTAGCCATTGCATGAGATGGGGGCGTGTCCATCAGAGCACTTGTTTCTTGTAGAAAAGTCACTCACTTCGTCGTAGATAACTTCCTTTTCCAGAATATCGTTCAGCTCCTTCATCTCTGGGTCAATCCCAGGTCCGCATTCCGCTCCTCTGGTCCCATTCCCGTGCTCTGGTTCCGGTGGTGCGTCTGGCGAGTCTTGGAGCACAGTGCACTTCTTGTAGGCTCTGTTCCAGACCAGCCCCAGCACTTGTCCACGAACGGAGTTGCTGTTACTACTGGAAACGCTCGTGTTTGCCTCGTACGCCTCGCTGTACACCATCTCCCCCTCCTCGTGGTCCACTTTACCCTTTACTGACCTCGGTCTCCATAGTAACATGATCACAAGGACAACAGCCAAACTTGTGATAGCTATGATAAGAATGGCACTCATGAAGATCCCGCCAATTAGTAACGGAGGGAGACCCCCTTCGTCAACGGGGATTACCCCTGGTTGAGTTGATGATGATGTCATAAGCGAGACTGATGATGTCGTCGGGGAGGGTATTGTTTCAGACGATGCCAAGGTATGCGAGGAATGCTCAAGTAGGGGGGATGAAGATGGACCTGTTTGGCTGACGAGTGCTGCAGAAGGAGAGGGAGAATAAGTGTCATCTAGAACGAGAGGGGAGGACGATGAGGAGGTGAGGGAGGTGAGTGAGGAGGTGAGGGAGGCAGAGGAGGGTTTGGGTGTCTCTTGTGGTCCAGCTGGCAGGGGAGAAGTTGTGGGTGGAGGCAGAGAAACTGTGGTAAACAGAGCAACCTGACACCTGCTGTTGACCTCAACTGAATTATCAAAACACCTATTGTGAATTCAACAAACTGTCACATTCACAAGCTAAATATGGGCAAGTAGACACCTATTCTTGCATACTGCATACTATTGCCAGGGGCTGACATGAACTGGAACTAAGAGCTGAGGTATATACAACTCCTAGACAAAAGTAACGCATGACACTCTTGTTTCCACACGTGATACGGTCCAATTTCTCTTACCCACGCCGGCTGACAGTACAGGAGCAGCTCCAATATGCAGCTGTGTTAGGCTGCACGGTCGAGCAACCAGCTGGCCCACTACACCAGAAGACAGAAGACTGACAGACCCACTCCACTCTCTGTCCAGCTGAATTCCTCCATCTGTCGGGTTTTCAAACTCTTCCTCCCTTCTCGATAGCTTGTACCGATCCACATAAAACCCGATGATGTCGTCAGGTAACACTTCAATTTGGTCGTCCCTGGGAACCTGATATTCCACACAGTGGTCAACAGGAGCCAGCAGTTGTGAGGGAACATTGACTCCAACGAGAGTGAAACAGCCGTCAACGGAAGGTCGCCAGACTTGAAACCGGATATCGTATCTCTCCCTGTTTCCACCGGGTTTGACGCAGGCGGACCAGTTGGTGACTCGTCCGTGGCAGGAGAACTGGTAGCTGGGCACGAGGATATTGACCAGCTCCTCTGAGTGGTCACGGGACCTGTGGTCGTCAATCAGTGGAGGCAGTCCTTGCAGATCACATGCCAGAGTGACCTCCACTGTATTGCATGCGTGTGGGGAAGAGAGTTAATAATCTCATTACTGCACTACCAAGTAATGATGTTACCAACTGCATGTAGGGACCATCATGCTACATCTAGCATGACACTTAATTTTGTCTTATGCAGCCAAGTTGCAATGTGCATGCCGGCCTAAAATATAATGTCTAGTAGCAAAATTCAGTACTTACATAAGAGAAACAGCACAGCTGCCCTGCTGGTTGTGATGAGTCTTTGCAGCATCCCCCCAAGCTGCCGTCTCTCGTCTCTTTCACTGACTAACGACCACGGTCGACTGCTACATATTGTCATGACCAACTCTACTGCTAATTGTCTTCCAGCCCTGGCTGCCAAGGAACCAATCCCAGATCACTCAGAGGCTTATTGACTCTCACTGTTCTCGGGGCTTTCACAGGCAGTTAATGCACCCGTCCAGTCGCCAAGTCATGCTTTTATAGCATTCCCCACAATTGTCTGCATGCCGATGCATCCTGTCTACTGGTCTCTGGACATGGGGCCAAGGAAACCCTTTGTGAATGTGTAGTTGATTGGCTGAATGCAGTGGCCGTGTTTGGCAAGGGCGTGAGGTGCACTTAGCTCACAGCCCACTCTATCCATTCCCCCAGTTCAACAACAGCCAGTGGTGTGTGCGAACAACTGCTGGCATTCAGCGACTTCCCTGTGGTGTATTTATAACATACGTTTAGAGCTATGCTGTGCAGAACATAATCTCTTCTCACCTTCCAACTATGGCCTTCTCGGCTGATGTTGGAAGGTTTTCTCTAACTAGGTGCCTTTATTTAATGGGCCCTTTCAGACTTCAATTGTAAGTTCTATTATGAGCCTTGCTTAGTAGCTGAACGAAGGCTAGAGAGCTAACTAACCATGTGAGCTAAAGCCCAACTTCTGCACAAGCGTTTCTCTTGAAGTATTATAATATGGGGTGATTCAGGATCGTGGGGCTGCAGATGCATGCTTCTTACCCACACACTGACAGCTTCGGCATTTCTTGAGCCAACAAAGAGAAAAGGAGTCAGCTTGCAAGCTGCACGTTGGGCACAGCTTCTCCCTCCCACTCACACTAATCCCCATTACCCATAACCGACTCTCTGTATGGGCGTGTGACTAATTGATCCTGATATCTGCTGAGTCCCCACACTGTAAACATTGCCACAAACACATTAATAGAGTTTGTAAGTACACGCGGAGAGTTGTTCTATAGGTGTCCAATGTACTCATAGCCGTCACTGTCTGTAGTGCTGTGGACATTTCGCTGACTTGCAGATGTTGTGGTCCGCGGAACGACAAACATCTTCCCATTCTTGTCGGCATAGAGTCCATTGTAGATCATGGAATCGGGGGCCTGCCGGGAATTCCCCTTCCCCCGTAGTCCCCCATCACTAACCCCCACCACTCCACTGTATATGTTGTCGACACTTGGTGGATCCTGGGCAGGGCTGGAACCATAGAGGAGGTTCGAGACCATTGAAATGGTGTCTGCACTGTATCTGTTCATGGATTGGGACCCGCCTGAAGCTCTGGACTGCCGTGACCTCACCGGTTCAACCTCGATTCGAGGCTCTGAGATTGTGTGGGTGTTCCTCTCTCCCTTCTGCTTCTTGTATCTCCTGCGAAGACAGAGGATAGTGAGGAGGGCAGCCCCTGTAATCAGGAGGATGTTGAGGAGGATGAGGAGAGAAGCAGCGACAGCCATTGTGGTGTAGCGGTCACGGATGATGTAGGGAACATCGGGCAGTGAGGAATTCCCATCTTGAAAGAAAAGGACGGGAGAAGGGGCCAGAGTGTGGGTGGCATCAATTGGAGTCAGCTCCTGGGAGTGTGACGATGATGGTGGGGAGTGAAGATTTGAGGACATGGGAGGTGATGAGATGGATACATCAGCTGAGACATGTGTGGTTGAGAATGTGGGTAAAGAAGAGGCAGAGGCTGTGCAAGAACCAGTGGTCTGCGTGATGGTTGAAGAGGCACCATCTGCAGTGTCAGCCATACCCTCAGAGAGAGGGGAAGAGGCAGGTGGGAGGGTAGTAATTAAGGGTGGGTGGCCAGAGAAGATGATGGTCGTTGGTGTTTGTTGGTCTGATACTGATGTCTTCGTGCCTGGAACAGGATCCTGTGTCTGGGTCACAGCAGCTGGCTCTATAGGAAATGAAATTTCAGTTATGAATGTAACCCAAAGCTCACAACAGTGTGAGATTAATTAACCTACCAAACATCACGGTAATTACAGGAGCTCCAGTTGAAGTCAGATGCAGCTGGAACTCACTGAACTCTGGCAGTGTTGCGAAACAGAAATGAGTCGAGGACGTCCCGAGTCCATATGTAGTCCTCAGGCCACCGACTGAAGTATTCTGGTAGTAAAACTCAACGTCTGTCCTCTCTGATACCACCTGAAACCCTGCCGCTTGGTTGTTGACATTAAACAGAGTGAACTTGGTAACAGCTCTCCAGTAGTCCACGTAGAACCCCACCACATCGCCTTCCTCTACCGCCAACTGTTCCTCCACTGGTAGAACTGTCTTGTTACACCCTCCCTCTAGTCTCAGGAGGTTAATCTTCTGGGGTTCTGAGGAGGAAGAGCGCCCCACCTGTTTGTAGCAGCCGGGGGAGACCTCTCTCCACACCTGGTAGACCACGTGGTATCGATCGTCAGAGTCAGCAGGAGAGAAGCAGCCTCCCCAGCCCGTGACTATTCCAGGGCAGGAGAAGCGATAGCTGGGAACTATAGCCTGGACTTGGTCTCCTGTGGTTTGGCTGGTTGTGTAGCTCTGGTAGGCTGGTAGACCTGACACACACCCACTGCCTGCAGGTTCATCATATACAGTGTGGTCTAGTACTTTCTATAGCATACTGTGTATATAGTATAATAATATTATGTTCTATTCTCATTGCCACACCTCAAATGCTATAAGATCACACCTTTCCTCAAGACTAAGACTGTGCTGTAGTGACTCTTCTTAAAATTTAGTTAGTCTCACCTTCAGGGATGTAAGTAGTCAATAGAAGGCCAACCACCGCCAGCACAAGCAAATATAACCCCATCTTTTACACTGACTAACACATACACTCTCTCCTCAAAGAGGGATAGCTACTACTGACTGCTCTGATGAACTGCACTGATATTGCTCGGCCACTCTGCCCAGCGTGTGTGTGTGTTGGCTGGTGAATGTATTGAGCCCAACACATGGTGACATGAGGCTCTCAATCACTGCTGGGACATCAGAAGCCATTTGTGAGAAGACAGCCAGCGTGACAAAACCTTTTGTGATCTAACTTTCAAAACAACAACGCCGCAATTTCCGCTCTTACGTAATAATTATGAAATATTGGTCGGTGAAAAACATTTTTATCAAGTGACGATAATTGTTTCGCTGACAGGCATGTGAGAACGGCTGTAATGAGGGGAGTGGAGGTGTGGTTTTGGACCACATAGACACTGATCTCCTCTGCTCTCCCCATGTCATGAATTCTAGCAGCACAGGCACATGAATGGAAGTAATCGTTATCTTGCTGCCCCTATCTCTTCCCACCCCTTTCTTGCAGTGCTACTTTATAGCACCACACACACACGTACAGCACAGTCTAGTGCAGTAGCTAGTAAACTGACTGCTGGCATTGGCCTTCTCCCTGGCCATCTGCTCCACACACACACGTACAGCACAGTCTAGTGCAGTAGCTAGTAAACTGACTGCTGGCATTGGCCTTCTCCCTGGCCATCTGCTCCACATACACACGTACAGCACAGTCTAGTGCAGTAGCTAGTAAACTGACTGCTGGCATTGGCCTTCTCCCTGGCCATCTGCTCCACACACACACGTACAGCACAGTCTAGTGCAGTAGCTAGTAAACTGACTGCTGGCATTGGCCTTCTCCCTGGCCATCTGCTCCACACACACACGTACAGCACAGTCTAGTGCAGTAGCTAGTAAACTGACTGCTGGCATTGGCCTTCTCCCTGGCCATCTGCTCCACATACACACGTACAGCACAGTCTAGTGCAGTAGCTAGTAAACTGACTGCTGGCATTGGCCTTCTCCCTGGCCATCTGCTCCACATACACCCTGGTTCTCTTGGGGGATGTTGAGTTTATCCAGCTGAGCTGCCAGTTACACTGCACTCTCCAGCTATATTCATGATTTTTTGTTGACCTGTCCTTACCCCCACATTCTTGTAAAAAGTAGCAAAAATTAATGGGCTACTTCGAATTATGTGCACTGCACTCTCCAGCTATAGTCAATGCGTTCATGATTTTTTGTTGACCTGTCCTTACCCCCACATTCTTATAAAAAGTACAAACAATTTATAGACCACTTCGAATTATGTGCACTGCACTCTCCAGCTATAGTCAATGCGTTCATGATATTTTGTTGACCTGTCCTTACCCCCACATTCTTGTAAAAAGTACAAACAATTTATAAACCACTTCGAATTATGTGCACTGCATTCTCCAGCTATAGTCAATGCGTTCATGATTTTTTGTTGACCTGTCCTTACCCCCACATTCTTGTCAAAAGTACAAACAATTTATAAACCACTTCGAATTATGTGCACTGCACTCTCCAGCTATAGTCAATGAGTTCATGATTTTTTGTTGACCTGTCCTTACACCCACATTCTTGTAAAAAGTACAAACAATTTATAGGCCACTTCGAATTATGTGCACTGCACTCTCCAGCTATAGTCAATGCGTTCATGATTTTTTGTTGACCTGTCCTTACCCCCACATTCTTGTAAAAAGTACAAACAATTTATAAACCACTTCGAATTATGTGCACTGCACTCTCCAGCTATAGTCAATGCGTTCGTGATTTTTTGTTGACCTGTCCTTACCCCCACATTCTTGTCAAAAGTACAAACAATTTATAGACCACTTCGAATTATGTGCACTGCATTCTCCAGCTATAGTCAATGCGTTCATGATTTTTTGTTGACCTGTCCTTACCCCCACATTCTTGTCAAAAGTACGAACAATTTGCTGGGACATCAGAAGCCATTTGTGATAAGACAGCCAGCGTGACAAAACCTTTTGTGATCTAACTTTCAAAACAACAATGCCGCAATTTCCGCTCTTACGTTATGATTATGAAATATTGGTCGGTGAAAAACATTTTTATCAAGTGACGATAATTGTTTCGCTGACAGGCATGTTGAGAACGGCTGTAATGAGGGGAGTGGAGGTGTGGTTTTGGACCACATAGACACTGATCTCCTCTGCTCTCCCCATGTCATCTGTGCACTGCACCATCGTGTCGAAATTGTAGCTAACAGTTGGCACCAACAGAGGCATCTGCAGACAGAAGAAAGGTCAATCAATCAATCGATGGTATACCTTACACACACCACATCAAGTTAGTATAGAAATGCCGGTCGGTGCTCAAAATTATGCGAAAGGTTCAATCCCCACACAAGTCTAGCGTACCTGAATGAATTTCCTGGTGATCCGATAGAGGCCCTCGTCACATCTGAAGGTTATGTAACAGTTGGTCACTGGTTTACTTGGAGACGTGTTCTGGACTGTCACTGTCAACCTGAATATTGGACCCAGACCCTGCACCTGGGAGGATTATTACGTCGCTGGTAATAATCCCAATGGTGAGTCTATGGGAGGAATGATGTCATACCTGTGCGGCTATCTTGAGGGAGCAGTCGGGGGAGGCAGTGAGCGGAGTCAGTCTGCTAGTGACTGCCTTGGCGTAGGCTGTGTGATCTGGAGTCTCAGTCTGGACAGGTCCTGCTGGAACACACTGTGCATCGCTGAATGGGTGGGGAGAAAGAGAAGCTATGCATTAACTCTGGTAAACCATGAATTCTAACAGCACAGGCACATGAATGGAAGTAATCGTTATCTTGCTGCCCCTATCTCTTCCCACCCTTTCTTGCAGTGCTATTCTGTTATAGCACACACACACACACACGTACAGCACAGTCTAGTGCAGTAGCTAGTAAACTGACTGCTGGCATTGGCCTTCTCCCTGGCCATCTGCTCCACATACACCCTGGTTCTCTTTGGGAGGATGTTGAGTTTATCCAGCTGAGCTGCCGGTGGACCAGGGTGAGGTCCTTTGCCTCGAAACTGGACCGATCTCTTGAGATCTTGACGAGCAGGGCTCCACCCTGCGTTACCATCAGTAGGACTCCGTCCTCTCTGCCAAACGGTCCAAACTTCAGACCTACCACCACGTCCTGCGGAGAAAGAAAAACTTAGTGCTTCATCTGAACAAAAAAGCACGTAAAACGTCAAATGCAAGAAACAAATCTGATATGGGTGACGTGAAATTTGACTTGAAACCTCTGATTAAAGAGAGATCAGATGTAGTTAAACTCACATCCACTGTGATGCAGTTGACTAGGAACTTGTCCTTGTAGATGCGGACCTCTCTATTCTGGAGGGCCACCACCACCGCCTTGAAGGAGCGCGGGCGATGGTGGAGTAGCTCCATGCAGGTGAGAGAGGCAGGCAGACGAAGACTCCATTGTCTGCGTCCCTTCACGCTGTAGCTGGCCCAGACTGTCGTCCATGCAGCCCACAACTACGTCCTTGTTGATTCTCTGGAGACCGCACGGTTGGGAGGCCAGGGGGATCTTGTAGCGCGGCGTCGTACTAGCTCCACTGTCTCGAGGTGAAAAGTAAACCTTTTCCGACACAAGTCCGCTCACCTCTTGAAGGTGTAGATGCAGTGTCTCTGCAGGCAGCGGAGATGTGGTAGTCCACATCATGCAGTCCAGTCACTGACGAATACTGCGGAGACGGGAGCAAGAACTGTGGTCCACACCACACAGAGGAAGACAGAGAACGGAGAAGAGGGAGGTACAACAGAAAAAGAGAGGATAAAGGGGGAGAGATGAGAAAAGGGTAATAAAGAGGGAGAAAATAAGAATGAAACGAACAAACATGAAAAAACTTCCTTTGCAGACGATGAGAGAGAAATATTAAGCACCTGTTTCAAAACGGTGAAGCTTCGGGATCGAGAACGTAGATTCTCCATTCTCAGAGGCACCACCAGGCAGCTGACGGCGTCATCCTCTGTGTGTCTTTTCTTCAAGCTGGCCCATGGGCGGTGATGACACTCTTTCTCCGGAGGGGAATGTGTCTGAAGGTGGCCAGGAACGAGGCTTGCAGCTCCGCGTCGTCCTCCAATTGCAGGTACTTGAGTGATCTCACACTCAGTGGTACCTCCTTGTTCCCCTCTCTGAGAGTGACAGAAACAGGGATGTGAAGGATGGGAAATGACAGTGATTTACTGCTTACTGCACGTCAACCAATGATCGGTAGAGCTCAGCAGCAGGTATCTTATCCTGAAGGAATTGACAGACACACTATCTGACAAAACGCTTCAAAGATTATAATGAAAAGCACTAAAGTGCAAACCCTCGGCACACTCTATAGAAATGTGGAACCCATACACAAGTGTGGCACCACCACAATTGATGGTCTTGACCACGCATCAAAAAGAACAGCATGTTATGCACCATTTCCATGGGGTTGGGAAAAAAATGCCCAGCCCTATTTCTGTTTGAGGCCCAAAAAATATATAAGGTGGAAAAATTGCCAACCTTTCATCTCTCTACTAATTTTCGTATTACCCGTGGATTGTTTAGTGGGCCACGCAACACTGTCTGCGACCGTGCCAGTTTGTCGCTCTCGAACGCAGTCGTTTCAGCAAAATCGCCATTTTAATAATAATTATACCTCCTTTGCTTTACTCCATAGCTCCACTTCATCCGAGTTCAACTATATTATAGAGGGGGAAAAGAGCTATACATTAACTGCATGTACACTTTGTCTGGAGAGGTTCTAACCTGAAGGTGGGGTAAGGTAAATTTGAAGTAGGGGCGGAGGTTCTTGTAGACGTAGACAAACGAGCCTGCTGCCACGGCAACGGCTGGAGTTCGGGGGTCAGTGGTGTCCATGTAAAAAGTCGCGACCCCCGTGGGGAGGTCAAGGAGCGGAGTCTCAAATGATAACTCGGTCCCTTTACCAACAGAGGGAGAGTGTATACGTGAAGGATCACTAAAATGTAAAGTGGAACCGCTATAAGGACACCACCTCCTGAAACAAGGATACATCTCCAATAAGGAAACCTTTTATTTCCCCCTACAACAGTTCTTATAAGCAATTAAGGACACCTCACCAATATGGGCCCTTTCTTGCAGGGGCTTACCCTTGTAAACTTTCAGTTTCATGTCAGAGTGTCCGCTGCCTAAATCTCCCACCAGGAACTGGGTCAAGGGAGAGAGAGAGAGTAAGGTGAGAGGGAAGGACACGCTTCATCTGCCCCCACCTTGTGGTCTCCATCCCTGTTGAGGTCCTCCAGAGCTGCACACACAGAAAAACAGAGGTTTAGCCGTGTCAGTCATGGGTGGCTAAGGCCCAGCTCACCCATGCAGGAGGAGAAGGTGTAGAGAGAAGCCACGGGGTCGTAGTGGGCGTCCAGCCATGCTCCCGCCCCTGAAATCCCGCTGTGGTGGAATTCCAATTGATGCGCACCTACGTTTTTCTCGTCCGAATTCTCACGTTACCTGTTCTCCTGGTCGTCTGGCGAGCGCTGCCTGCTTACTGGATGAGTTCGCGCGGACATTTTCTCTCTTCTCCAAAAAACACAGACGAAGAGAAACGGCGGGAAAGGCTCTGCACAAACGTCGCCTCCGGCTGCGCTGGAAGCTATGTTTATCGGGATTGCCGGTTCCCATGGAAACGACGTAACCGTTGCGGCTCCGTTGCAAAAACGCATGCCGAAAATTATAACGGGAATCGAATCAATCAACAACAGACCTAAGGTTGTCTGTCTATCACTACATCAGTCACTACAGAGTGTCTCTCTCCAGAGATGGAGTTCATTTGAAGCGGAGGCCGGCGATGGAGGACTCCAGGCTCTTGCAGTCCCAGATCACCAGCTGCCCGTCCACGCCAACGGTGGCAAACTTGGACACGTTCTCTCGCGACCCCGTGTGCAGCAGGATCTCGGAGATGGCGTTCTGGTGGGTGGAGTCTAGCTCCACGTCCCTTCCGCCTGCATTGGCTCGATTGTCCAGACCTTTGAACTTGTCCATGGCACTAAAGAAGAAGGGGGGGTGGAAGGGAAAGAGTGTAATGGATGAAGAGCAAGCCTCAAAAACACATTGACTCCAGAGCCATTTTTTTGTAGAACTTTACTCATTTGCAAAACTTAAGATGCAGTGATTCGCCAATTTCCACAAAATGCATGGTAAAAATATCTATGAAGCACACCTCACAAACTCCTTTTGTTTCTTCTCTGCAGTGTCCAATTTATTGATGTAGGTGAGGGAGCCTGCGTCGTCGTGCATCCACAGCACGGGGCAGCAGTCGTAGCCTGCAGCCACCAGACTGTTCTCCGTCAGGAAGAGACAGGAGAGATACGGGAGGTAGGAGTGCATCACTGTTGACACTCTGTGGAGGGAGAGAGATTTACAGACATCCATTTTCTACTTGCTCATAGTAAAGTGAATGAAGTGAGGTTAGGTAAGAGAAAAAAGACAGAAGAGGGTTGCAACTTACTGCCCATCAGCGGCCTGGTTGGCGACGGACACGCTGGAGTCATGTCCGACCCAGGCCAGCTTGTTCCCCGAGGGAGAGAATGAGACACTGTGGACCCAGCCTCCCCCTCCGTTGGAGAACTCTGCCATGCAGGCTCCAAACGTCATCTTCTTCCCCCAGCACGTGGCCTCTGGTTTCTCCTCTATCTCCTTCACATAGCCCGAGAACACCCTGTGATTCAGCGGGGTGGACCCTCTCATTAAAAGCAATTTCGGTTGTAGAAGTACTTACAAACATACCTGGCCTTGAAGTCACAGCTGCCGGCAGCCAGGAGGTAGTTATTGGGATGCCAATCAATACCCAGAACAGTGGATCGCAGTGGTTTCTTGATGTGTTTACTCACCCACCTACACACACACACACACACACACACACAGGGAGGAAATAGTGTGCCTACCAACAACATATCTTGACGAGAGATCATACATACATACTTGCAACTAAATACTTTGACTCTAGAGAACACACTTTACTTACCAGTCATTTTCCTTCTCAAAGTAGCAGATGGAGATGAGACGTGCTCCACTCCCCACTGCAAACTTGTTCTCTGGAGAAAGAGAGAGAAGAGTTGAACTCCTCTAATCCATGACACCAATGGGACACAATAAAGTGTCTAAGTCCCTATTTCAGGGGTAAGATGTTTTCTTGGAGAAAGAAATTCCAGGGGCATCCTTAGAGAAGTGCTCCCCAATGCTAACAGGAGAACTCACTAACCAAGTGGAGACCACCTGACAGTAGTGGCAGCTCGGTTGATCCTCAGGATTACCAGAGACGGCTTCCACTCTTCTCCGGCAAACGTCCACACATACGCATTCCTGTCCTGCAGATACATACACTTATCCACAAGCTGGCCCAACACATAAGAGGAAGGAGTGGCAAGGGAGAGAAAGAGATATCCTTACCGCTCCGCAGGTCACAAGGCGATCGCTCTTTGGGGCCCAGTCCATTCCAGTCACCTTCTGTCCATGCTGCGAGAGGAACGACACAATGTCCACTGCTGCGTCTCGGCAGTAAGTGGGGTGGTGGGTATGGGACTGACCTCACTAAGAACGTGCTGAACCTCCCATTTGCTGCCTTTCTTGGTGTAGATGTGGACCTCGGTGTTGTTGGGGGAAATGGCAAACCCTGTAGCAAGAGAGAGAGAGAGAGAGAGAGAGAGAGAAGTTGAAGATTAGAGAATCACGGCCTAGCAGGCCTCTCTCTTCCCACTTACTGCTCCTGTCGCCGTTCCAACAGTGGCACGTGATGGGCCCTGGAATGAGCTGATGAACCTCTGGCATTGTTTCCCTCGATTTCAGGTGATGGCTCTCAGAAACGATTCACTCGGTACTTTTGGTTGTCTTTGACCGCGGACTCTGGTCAGTCTACACGGCCTCTCGTCTTCTCGATCTCCCGCACTCCACAAGGAAACGTCTTCCCCTGTGAACCGCCTTATTTGGTGCGCCCGGTGGGATAGGTGTGGCTTGTATCGCTCATCGTATGCGCATGCGCATTTGGCCAGCTGGATAAAAATGGCGTCTAATTGTTCGCTGCCGTTCGTCTACATCTCAGGGGAGGAGGTCCGGAGACTTGTTGGGATGGCGGAGCTGATCGAGGAAATGGCTCGAGGTCTGCGGTGGGTCTCGGAGCGAGATGAGGGAGGCGTGGTCCAGCCTGTACGGACTGTTGTCCGAGTGGACAAGTACTGCGGGTCAGTGCGAGCCATGACGTAATCCCCCTGCAATACAGAACGTGCTGCAGGAACCTGGGGTTGATGCCGGCGTACTCGAGCAAATCAGACAGCCTGGGAGCCAAGTTGGTGACCTTCTACCCCCATCAGATTGAGGGGGGTCCCCTCTCATCAGGCCATCGTTATCGTCCTGGACCCCAGAACTGGGACTCTGCAGGCTGTGAGTCCTCACCTATACCACTGCTGACCACGTCTGGTCCGTCTTCTACCTCAGATTGTGGACGGAGTTGAGATTACCAACATGAGGACTGCAGCCGCTTCTGCCTGTGCTGCCAGAGTGAGACTCAACACCTCACACTGTCTCCACTCACACTCTACACACTTCTCACTATCTCCTCCTCCCCAGGCACTATTGCAGCAGGCTCCCAGAGTCCTATGTATAGTAGGCAGTGGAGTGCAGGCTAGAAGTCATGCCGAGGCTCTTCGCATCCACCACTCATTCTCTGAGGTGTAGTAAAATTTTTGTGGAGTACCAAAAATTTGGAGTAGTAAAAATTTTAGCTGTAGGATTGATTGTATATAGGTGAGAATCTGGGGTCGAAGTGCAGCCAGTGCTCAGCGCTGTGCCGACGAGGTGAGGGCAAAGGTCAGTCTGTCTCTCCCCGATGCACTCAGAGATGCCGACGTCGTGGTAGCGGTAACCTTGGCGACGGAGCCACTGATTCGTGGAGAATGGTTGAAGACAGGAGCGGTGGTGATATGTATGTCTCTCAGGATTCTATTGGATCTAGTCAACCTCTTGACATTTCAGCTGTGGGGGCGTGTCACTCCGACTGGAGAGAATTAGACGATGATGTAATGCTAAATTCACTAGTGACAGTAGACAGTTGCGATGCAGCAATGAAGGAGTCTGGAGATATCATACAATCGGGGGTAAGCCCCTCTAATTCTCAGAGACCGAATTGTGTCTCCTGCAGGCAGAGATATTTGCAGAAATTGGAGAAGTAATATCGGGAGCTAAGCCTCTCCCCTCTCTTTCTGATTGCGGCAAGAAATTCCTCATGTTCAAATCACTGGGTTAGAGAGTGAACAACAGGGGCCTCCCCTAATTATCATACCGCACAATGTGCTTTCTCTCTGACTGCAGGCATGGCAATAGAAGACGTGCTTAGTGGAACTCTGATATACCATCGCTTCATGGAAAGACAGACATCACGACAACCAACGTAGCCTCAGAGAATCAATTCATTTTGTATAATTTTTGTACAGAGTAAAATCATGACATTGAGACAACAGCAAAGACAGGATGTGAGTGTGTACTTAATTATTATGTTGTGTGTGTGGAGAGTGCAGGAGTGAAGGTCGACACTACTGAGTTCTGTGGAGAGAAGATGGCTTGGAGGCAGTAGTGTCAACCCTAGCCTTGTCTCTGAGTGTCGTACCCTCTCTCTTCAGCACGTGGAGCAGTGACTGGGAGCTCTCCAGAATCTAACACAACACACGGAACAACTGTAGTACATAACTCAGGGTGTTGCGGCAAGGACACACACCTTTTTGTAAGCGCCCTCCGTCTCTGCGATGGTGCGGTCATAGTCGTTCCTGATGGCATCTTCCGGGCCAGGCTCTCGTTGATGGCCGCCAGTCGCTCAGTGATGATGTGGAGGTCGTGCTGGACTCGCTGCTTCTCCTCTTCCTCAGCAAGATCTGCCTGTGGAGCTCGTCTCGCTTCGCACTCAGGTCCCTCGATGCCTTGGGGGAAGAGTAGTCAGCTAGCTAGTGTCAAAGATGGCACTGAGCACGACGGAGGCTTACATTTTATGAGCTCGTTGTTGTAGCCCTGTAGCTGTGCGCCCTGCTGAGACATTGCTGTTGCCTACTCTATACCCTCGGTTCTTTCCCTCTAACCTGCGCACGCAGCTAGCTCTAGATCGTATGTGGGCGTGGCTGAATTCCGTTTCATGCCAGCGCCAAACCAAAGCATGCGTGATCTATGGCTAGCTTTTATGACCAGAAAGCTTGATTGATGCCGCGCGATCAGACAGATGTCAAGCGGGCCATACCCTCCACAAAAGATCGACTGTACCTAGTCTAACCCAATACTACTGCCATGAAGGAACAAAACATAACGGTGAGCGGTGAAAACCAGTGCCAATAGCTATCCACTACTACCTTCTATCGGCCTCTAGGTGGCACTGCGTGTGCGGCCGATCAACCCCAGAGAGGTTCCGCTCCGGAGCTAGGCCGATAGCTCGCGTCGTCGACAAGAACGTGAGTTTAGCTACTCTCAGAATTCCGCGAGAAATTCACCTCTGCATCCTCGTTCGCTCCAGCTGGTGGTGCTAATGGACCCCAACCGAGACAGCGACGATATCCTGCGGGCCAAACGGAGCCATGACCACAGCTACATGTTCGACGTGGCGTTCTCCCAGCGAGCGACGCAGAGAGACGTCTACCAGCGGACATCGCAGGGCCTCGTCTCCAAAGTCATCAGAGGATACAATGCTACAGTCTTTGCCTATGGCCCCACTGGTAGGAAACTACGGCGAAACCTCTGAATAAGGAACACCTTGGCGGCATCAAAATGATGCGCCAAGTGTGCCGAGGTGTCCTTTTTCAGAGGTTCCAATGTAAGATGCAGTAGGTAGAGGAAGTGTGTTTGTGCATGTGCTCTCAGGGGCTGGTAAGACGTACACGATGCTGGGAAAGACGGGAGAGCCGGGGATCATGGCCCTCACTCTCTCCGACCTGTTTGCCAAGATGGAACAGAACCAGGCTACCAGTCGCTACAGAGTCACCATGGCTTACCTTGAGGTAAGAGATGAGACACCATGGCTTACCTTGAGGTAAGAGATGAGACACCATGGCTTACCTTGAGGTAAGAGATGAGAGATCTCATACAGCTAGTGCTCTCTGTTGAGATTATATATGTAGGGAAAATGAGGGATGAGAGGAAAAAGTTGTGCAACATTAGTGCTTGCGTAAAGTAGAAGCAAAGGTGTAAAAACATAACAATATTGCCCACTGTCAGATCTACAATGAGATGGTTCGTAACCTGCTGGGTCCGTCAGTTGGTATCCTGGACCTGAGAGAAGACGCCCACGGAGCCACAGTTGTCTCGGGGCTGACTGAGGTGGAGGTGCATGATTCAGACGAGGTAATGGATCTCCTCACTCGAGGGAACCTGCGGAGGACTTGTGAACCTACTGCCGTGAACAAGACATCGTCTCGCTCTCATGCCGTTCTCAAAGTTAGCGTACAAACATCTCTCAATCTAGATCTTTCTTAATTTGGCGCTAACCTGATAATCCAACAGTTGAGGCATGAAACTCTGTTCTTTCATTATTTGTGTGTGTGTGTGTGTGTAGGTGACAGTTGAGCAGCAGAGTCGAGTGCTCAACATGTGCCAGAAGATTAGGACCGGAGTTCTGTTCATGATCGACCTGGCCGGCTCAGAGAGAGCGGCCAACACACGGGTGAGGAATGAATACGGAATATGGGTGTGGTAACTTAACAAGACAACGACATTCACTGTTTGAGAATAGCTTCACCCAAATCAATTCAAGTGTTTATTTATTCCAATTGTCATCACCTCATCAGTGAACTAAGTATTACATCAGACCTCTTTACACACACACACTCTCTCTCCCTCAGAACCGGGGACTACGAATGAAGGAAGGAGCCCACATCAACCGGTCGCTACTGGCGCTGGCCAACTGCATCAACACTCTCAGCAGTGGAGGACAGTATGTCAACTACAGAGACAGCAAACTGACGCGACTTCTCAAAGACGCCCTCAGCGGGAACTCTTTCACGGTCATGATCGCTCACATCAGTCCGGCCAGCAGCTGCTACGAGGAGTCAAAAAACACTCTGAAATATGCCGACAGAGTCAAACACCTGAAAACCAAGGTCAGAGAGAGGGAGTGGCCTTTTACATAATCCGGGAGCTTAGCTGTAGGTAAAGTTTATGATCAGATTTCATCATATACTGTGTTCTGTAGGTGAGCAGTAATGTGGTGGAGGTGGACCAGCATGTGTCCGAGTACCAGGCATGTATGGAGTCAATGAGGACTCGTATCCTGGAGCTGGAGGGACACGCTGGAGTGGCGGGAGGGAGAGGGAGACAGTCTGTGTACTGATCTCAGAGCTATGCTCAAGGAGGAGAAGACTATCAGGTATATACTTTAGATCACTATTGACTCACAGACCATGGGTCTACAGCAGTAGCAAACTGAGATATTTTTCTGTGGGAGTGTTGAGCAATGTTTGCCCTAATCGAATATAGCAAACACTGAATATGAAAACAAATATATCAGCTGAGGCATAGGAGTATAGTTTTGAAAAAGCCCCGAGTTTCTTCCTCTGTTGTGTTGTGTTTGTAGGGAAGAGATGGTGAGTGTGGAACACAGACTACTCCTGAACGCCGTGGAGAGGCAGAAACACACGGCTACAATCAGGCTCCTGTGTGTGGCCTCCACACCCTCTCCCCTCCCTCCCTCCTCCCTCTCACCCCTCCCCACCACACTCGAGGACACCGGGCTGGCTTCTCTGCTGTTCAAACGATCGTCCAATTGGTTTGCAGAGCCAAGTCACATGACCGAACCCTACCTCAGCATGGAGGATATCACTGCTCCTCGGGGGAGTCACATGACTACCGTGGAAACCAAACAAAGTGATTACATAACCACTTCAGAGCCAGTGGAAGAGAGTACTGATCACATGACTACTGTGGAATTGTCACATGACGGTCCAGCAGTGAGGGGAGGGGAAGAGGAGGAGGAAGAAGAGGTAGGTCAGGCAAGAACTGAACTGGTCAGACTGCAGATGGACAAACGGAGGCTTGAGGCCCGCCACCACAGACTGGGCCGCAAACTCATGGAGACTCGCACCAAGAAATCACAGCTACAGACGGTAGAGACCATTCACTCCTTGCTTATATATATAGTGCCATTTCACGTCTCTCTCTCTCTCTCTCGGTGTCTCTTGTTAGAGGGTGTCAGTGAGTGGGAGGCTCCACCCACACCAGGTGGAGCTGTGTGCAGCTCTGCAGCTGTGCGGCGAGCTGGAGGAAGAGGGGAGACAGAGGGAGCTGGCCGGAGCCCAGGCCTCTCTCCAGCTCCATCGCAGGGAGACCACTCTGGAGGGGCTCCTGGTCCTCAACCACCAGCTCATCGCTGCTCTACACCAGTACAAGACACTCCTGGAAGGTATGACATCGTCGTTTCCACTACACCTCATCCTTTGCGTGACGTTCACCTAGTGTGGTAGTGACATCAGACGTGTTTTGACTGTACGCATATATATAGGTGCTCTCACTATAGTTCAATGTAAATAGAAAATTTTCACTTGCACTTGCTCACCAAATTGTTTTTGCAATGTTTTGACTCCTTATCTCCCGCTTTCTCTCTCTCTCTCTGGTCGTGCAGAGAGAGTTGTGTCACCGCCAGCAGGGGACAGACTGCCACCTCTGGAGCCCCTCCTGTCTCGCAGTTCCAACCTCACTTGGCACGCCGAGAGAGAGAGAAGACTGCCGGTGGCCGGCCGAGCTCTCCAGCTGCCCACCTTCTCTGCCTTCTCCGCCAGAGTCTGCTCCACTGCCATGGCTGGTTAGACCTTAACAACTGAGATCTAGTCAAGTTCTATATAGCTACTGTCCTTATTAGAGTAAATGTCGTAGCAATGAGGCAGACTTCATGACAACTACAGTACATGTATGTGCAGGGTCAAAGTCCAACCTGCTGGTGGAAGACGTGACAGACGGAGAAGAAGAGGAAGTGGGAGGAGCTTCAATCACTGACACCAGGTCAGTGTCCTAATTAGAGCCAACCTTGTCCCTTACACCTGCCTCTCTCTCTCATTCAGTGACGTGCCTCTCTCTTCCCTCCCACAAGACTCGCTGGGCACCCTCCCCCTCTTCTCCTGCCCCTTACTCCTGCCCACAATCCCCGTCAGCACCTCCCTCACCTCCCCCTGCACCACTCACACTCCTCACAATGTCATCTTCCCCAACCCCTCCCTCCCGGCTGCCTTCTCCCGCTCCAACATTCCTCTCAACAAGTGTAGATTCTGCAACCACACCCCTACTCCACCCACTCCACCCTTACACCTTGCTCCACCTCAATCCGGGACAGAGTCTGCCGTCCCATCCTCAAAACGGACATCAGTACAACTATACTCTGATACAGACTCTGTTGTCCAACCAACATCCATTCAACTTCAATCCAGGACAGAGACTGTCGTCCCATCCACAAATCGGACGTCCAGTGAAGCGACATCTGCCGCAGAGACTGCTGTCCAATCCACAAAACGGACGTCCATTCTGTCCAAAGTGGGCCTCAATGCTGCGCGGATCTCAGTCTCTCGAAGCTCCGTAAACAAGAGCAAATATGTCGTGAATGACAAGTCCCCTCTACTGACTGAAGACTGCCACACCGAGGGTAGTGTGAAGACTGACACAATGGCTATAGATAGTAGCAACGAGTCTCCAGTGCTAAAACTCCCGTCATCCACACAGCAGTTGCAAGAGCCTCACGCCAGCTCTTCGAATGAGGAACCACTGGTCCCAACTACAGCTGAGAGCAAATCTCTAAAACTTCCAGCTGCTTCAATGGTGCCGAGAGGAGGTCCACCTGCAGAGAGCGAGACAGACGAGAGGAAAGAGCTCCAGCAGAGTGTGTCGCAGCTCTCTCTCACTCACAGCACACACGGGAAGACAAGGAGCGGAGTTGCCGGGAGACGAGGAACGAGAACTCTCCGAGCAAACAAGCCTCCAACAATCCCAGTTGTCAAGGCAACAGAACAGAGAGCCAAGAGGGAATCCCTGCCCGTTAAAACTGTCGACAGGACTCGCCAGTCCACCATGCTGCCCAAGAGAAGACAGCAGCGAGAGAGACAGACTCTTGTCCCCTCTAAAGGTATGTATACACCCGCAATCTTCCTCTCTCTCAATCTTGTTCTATTTCAGTCATAGCAGGTGGTAGTCACGTGAATGCCTCACCGTACCTTAAAACAACAGCAACCGGCAAATTTGAAGCCAAGAAAAGTAAGTTTAAGTATAGGAGATGATGATAGTCACACTCACACTCTCCCCCCCCATGTTTCTGCAGTTGTGTTCAAGAGGACAAATCCGTCCAACCAGGTGCCAAAGTTCAAATCTCCCTACCACGTTTCCATGGCTAAGACCAACAAGACCAAGAAATGAAAACATTTTGTACTTTTCGTCCTGGGAATTTTTTTCTTTCTGCATTTCGTATTTCTGATAGACCCTGTGAATGCGCATGCGCACCTCTGCGTTTTTAGGCGCGCGGACGAATAACCCGTTTTTCACTGAATTTTGTAACGTCAAGAAAACGTGGATCCTTCCTCCATCAGTCTCCATTGGCTCGGTATCCTGTGTACAGTACAGTGTGTGAACAGCGCGATGGCGAAACATCATCCTGACCTCATCATGTGTAGGAAACAGCCCGGAGTCGGTAAGTGGCTGGAAAAATAATATGCAGATCCCTACACACTTACCAAACCTCTCCCTCAGCCATTGGTCGACTGTGCGAAAAGTGTGACGGCAAGTGCGTGGTGTGTGATTCGTACGTGCGGCCGTGCACGCTGGTCCGCATCTGCGACGAGTGTAACTACGGCTCCTACCAAGGTCGCTGCACCATCTGCGGAGGACCCGGCGTCTCGGACGCCTACTACTGCAAGGAGTGTACCATACAGGAGAAAGACGTACGTCTCTTCCCCACTCTATGTGTGCGAGATTGGTTTGTGTTCTGTTTTCTGTAGAGAGATGGGTGTCCCAAGATTGTCAATCTCGGCAGCTCAAAAACTGATCTCTTCTATGAAAGAAAGAAGTATGGCTTCAAGAAAAGATGACTCAGTCACTAGCCTAATCTCTATGCTTTTTTTCTGTTCTCTGCTGCTTCATTGTAATGCATTCTGCTATTGGCCGTCCAATCCTGAAATTGGGCGTCCGATGTTTGCTCGCGCGAGTTTTGAAATCGAGGTGCGCGTCAATTGGGGAAAGGGGCAGCATGCAGAAGTCCAAGCAGGCCACGTTGTTTCGCTCCTGGGGAGGCAAGAAGCCGCTGAGCGATGGAAATGCACGGTACAGAGGCAAAGGAAAGGCGCCAGCTCGTTGGAGCGGCAAAAACCCACCGTGTCAAGACGCTAGCGCGAAAAATGCACCATCAGCATCTTATTCTTCAAACAACGCGGCATTTGTGGACCTCACCGAGGGAGAAGAGTTCGGATTCAAAGACGTCCAGGAGTTGGACCGATTCTTCGAGGATGACGTAACGGAGGAGATCGGGGGAGAGAGAGCAGCCGTCGCCGAGCCAGCAACCTCAGCTCACAACTCCTCCGTCCTGGAAGAGGTCCCGGGATTCGATCACGCCGCGGGGGAGCAGTGGATCTACCCGATCAACTACCCAGTCAGAGACTACCAGTTCAATATCGTCCAAAAATGTCTGTTCAGGAACACGCTGGTTTGCCTGCCGACCGGACTGGGAAAGACGTTTATTGCTGCTGTGGTAATGTTCAACTTCTACCGCTGGTACCCGACGGGGAAGGTGGTGTTCATGGCCCCCACGAAGCCTCTGGTCACCCAGCAGATTGAGGCCTGTCACAACATCATGGGAATTCCTCAGATCCACCTGGCTGAAATGACTGGTGAGTGACTCAAACACCAGCTCAGAGAAAACCTATCCCACTGTATACAATGGTCATCACTCACAAAATTTGCAGCTAAAATTTTTTGATGCTTTGCAAAATGTGAAATTAAAGTTTCGTACTGTGTGTTGTTCAGGAAACCTTCCTCCAAAGGAGAGAGCTGCACAGTGGATCTCCAAGAGAGTGTTCTTTCTTACTCCTCAAGTGATGCAGAATGACATCACCAAGGGGGCGTGTCCAGCAGACCTTGTACGCTGCGTGGTGTTTGACGAGGCTCATAAGGCACTCGGCAACTATTCCTACTGCCAGGTCGGAAGTCAGCTATCTCTCTCTCTGAACAATGAGAGTGTGTTGTGTGGTATTGTAGGTGGTGAAGGAGTTGAGTGGTCGTGGAGTTGTCTTTAGAGTTTTAGCTCTCAGTGCTACTCCTGGAAATGACTTGAAGGTTTGCCGACATCACGCAGTTCCCCTATCTTGGTCCAAATGTCGTCTTCTAATTTGTGTCCACCTTGTCCCCTCTCTCTCTCCTGTCTCAGGCAGTTCAGCAGGTGGTGACCAACCTCCAACTGTCCCACATAGAACTGAGAGCTGACGACTCATTCGATATTCAGCCGTACACCCACCAGAGGAAGGTGGAGCTCCACGTCGTCCCACTGGAGGGGGAGATCCTGCTCGTTAAGAACGCCTTCCTCGAGGTGTTGTCGGGGGTCATAGGTCGACTGGCAAAGTTTGGGGTCGTGTACTCGGCAAATCCGGAGAGACTGAGCAAGTTTGGACTCCTGCAGGCTAGAGATGGGTTCAGGCAGTGCCCTCCACATGGTGTTCGTGTGAGCCTCTCTCACTGACTTGTTCTTAGTACAGTGGTACTTAGTTTATAAGCGTGCTACTAAGTTGAGTTGAGTCTCGGTTCTCTCTCTCCCCCCTGCAGCCAGGGAGTATTGAGTCAGACTTTGCCACGGCGATCTCTCTCTACCACGCATACGACCTCCTACTCCTCCACGGTCTCCGTCCCTTCCATCACTATCTCGCCCACACCTTCTCCAACGGCTCCTACCCCCGGGCCCAGCAAGAAGTCGACCGCCACCCCGAAATGGCTCGCCACCTCCGAGATCTTCGCAGGAAACTCACCGCATCGTCCTCGAGGGTCGTGGGGTGTGGTGGAGTTGGTCGCAGTCCACGGAGCAGTCACTATACTTCGCCATCGCAGTGCTCCGCTCCAGACTTGTTCTATGGTCACCCAAAACTGAGAAAACTGGAGGAAGTCGTTTTGGAGCATTTCAGACGGTGTGGTGCGCAATCTGCGGATGGGACGGGAGGCAGAGGTCCCAATACCGAGACCCGTGTGATGGTTTTCTCGCAGTATCGCGAGAGCGTGCAGGAGATTGCCGATCTTTTATCTAGCCACGCCCCCCTCGTTAGGGTGATGAGTTTTGTTGGTCACGGTACGACTGGAAAGTCCACCAGTAAAGGTCTAACTCAGAGGGAGCAGACTGAGGTGAGCCACACCTCCACTCCTGTGGGAGAAAATTGAATGTCCATGTCCACAAGTTTAATACTGTCTTGATCAAATTACTTGGAGTCACAGTGCTGTCTGTTTCTCGTGTTTCTTTTTCTTTTTTAAAACTGATTTTTGATGTTGAAACTGGCTGCAGGTGGTTCGAAAGTTCCGTGAGGGTGGCTACAACACTCTGGTTGCCACGTGTGTCGGGGAAGAGGGTCTGGACATTGGGGAGGTGGACCTGATAGTATGTTTCGACGCTCACAAGAGCCCGATCCGACTGGTCCAGAGGATGGGGCGGACGGGGAGGAAGAGGAGTGGGAGGATTGTCGTCATTGTCACTCAGGGGAAAGAGGAACAGGTTGGGACATGGCTACACATCTGTCTGTGTGTCTGTATTACATGAGACTGTGTCCTTACATTCTCATGCACGAGGTGGATTCAATTAACATCATATTTGTTGAGCATTCTCGTCTGCTGAATGGGAGCAAGCTTGACAGTTTGATATTCTCTTGCCTTTTTGCTTACACTCTTAGAGTTGTTGTGTTGTGCGTAGTCATTTTTCATTCCTCCTCTGGTGTGTTGCAGACTTACCGGAAGAGCCAGTCCAACAAGCACAGCATCCACAAGGCCATCAGGCAAAATTCTCGCTCCCTCAATTTCTTCCCGCACGCCCCCAGAATGGTCCCTCGGCACATGACTCCACAGAGCCTCAAGCAGCCCATGACCGTGGAGGAATACAAGCCCTCTGAGAGAGGCCAGAGAGGACGCGGGAGGAGGCAGCCGAGACTGAGTCTGGGTCCTCCTGCGCTCAGCAGAGCCAGTCAGAGAGGCTGTCTGTCCCACCAGGAGCTAGAGGAATGGAGCAAGAGGTTCTCTCTCCCTGACAGAGAACTGCGGGCCTGCGAGAGAGCCGTGGGCGAGTGCTTCAGACATCAGCCGATTCTTGGTTTGTCGCATTTGAAGAGAGGAAAACAGGGTGTTTTGGATACCCCAATTGATAATCGGGTCAACCGGAATCATTCGACTACCGGCACACCTCTCAATGCTAGTGTGGTGCAGAAATTCCCGCTCAGTCTGAGTAAATGGATCCGTTGGCAAACGGGACAGACCCATTTCAAGATGGTCGGCCCGTCTGAGAAGGGGAAACAGTTTGTGTCTCTGCTGGAGTTCCTGGATCTCATGTACTCTTGTGATGGTCTGGGGGAGAGCTACGCTACTGAAATGGCTGCCTTTTTTGACCCAGAAGACATTCGCACTGTCGGAGCGGCAGCCAGCACTGAGGGAGTCAGTACTGCAGGGAGTGGTGGGGAGAAGGGGAGAGGAGGGAGGAGGGCGAGGAGGAGATTGGCTAGTGGTTCCAGTGACGACGATGAATTTCTGGATGAGGGAGTGGGGAGAAGTCAGTCTGTTGGTAGGGGAGAGCAGTGTTCCAAACCCACAACAAACGAAGATGTTCTGGTAACAGAAGAGATGAGCCCACATCTTCCAGACAGGCAGAGTCCTATACCCAGTGTTGATGACAGGGATTTACCCGCAGCTTTGCAACATGCCATTCCCCGGCCACCATCCTGTGACTCTCTAGACTGGTTGGACGACATTCAGCCCTCACAAATCTCGACTCCTCTCCCTTCACGTTCCTCCTCTACCTCTGCCAATCCCCACTCACCCCCTCACACCTCTCGCGACTTCCAGTTTGCATTCCCCCACACCCCACCCAGCTCCAGAAAGAGTAAAACCCCGTTCGTTACACCACTAACAACCCCTCCACACAGGAAGCCAGAACACAATCGTCAACCAGTGGGCGATACAAGTACTACTGATGAGGCGTCGGCACACTTTGAGAGTATGGACTTGTTCAATGACATATCATCTGCAGTTCTATTTGATGATTTCAGTGACGTCGGCACCTCACAAACTGCACAGGAACAGAGTGTGAAAGCTGTGCAGGAAGAGATGGAAGAGAGAGAGGTAGCTGAAGAGGCTGGGGAGGGGGGAAGCATTGACGATGCTCTGAACATTACATCAATCCCAGAGTCTGAAGATGACGGAGAAGAAGGAGAAGAAATTCAGGAAAATGGCGATGAAAAAGGAGGTATGGAAGTTCACTGTGACTCTCAGAATGGTGATGTGTCCGAAGAGAGTTTAATTGGAGGGTGTGGTCAGCGACGACGGAAGTTTGCCAGACCCGATTTCCTCCTCACCCAAGCTCCGCCCAAATCTCCGCCCATCTCTCCCATGGAATCGTCAGGAACGGCTCCAGGCTCCGGTGACTATGAAGATTTCCTGTTGGAACCTCTCAGTAGACGGCTGAGAAAGAGAGGTGTGTTTGTGGAGAGGGAGAGAGAGTCTGGTGAAGCAGGCAGGAAGAAGGTGCGTTTGGAGCCAGAGGAGTACCTTGACAAAGAGGCTGAGCTGTCAGGAGAGGGAGAGGGGAGTGGGGAAGAGGAGGAAGTGGAGAGAGGGGCAGATGAATACAACATGGAGGACAGCTTCATAAACGACAACTCTGTTTTGACACAGGTGCTAAAAATGTTGTGAGTTCTCTCAACTGAACTCTTAGTATGTCACTTTTTGTGTTCGTAATATTAGTACCGTTTTTGTTTCACTGTTTTGTGTCTGCGGATGGTTTTGTTTTTGTCACGTGTGCTCTATAATAATATACAACTGCAGGTGACTCCCTCGCAGCTCCCCAAGGAGAAACTCAGGAGTAAGAAGTTCAGTCCAGTCAACATGGCGGATGTGTACCGGCAGTCTCTGATGAGTCCACATTCGGATCATCTGTTTGTGGGGAGAAGGGGAGGTGGTGGGTACCGGATGGTGCTGAGTCAGAGACACCAGATCCTGAACCGCTGCCTGGCAAAGGCCGGGGGGAGGAGGTTGTTTGATGGGGAACGGAGGAGAGGTGAGGATGTGAGCAGTGAGAGTGGGGAGAGTGAAGCAGAGGAGGTGAGGGTGTGTTATGGCGAGGAGGACGAGAAGGAGATCGAGGATTCTCAGAGCATTGGAGAACCTTGGGAGTGGGGGGATGAGGAGGAGTCAGGGGGAACAAGAACACACCATCCGAGGCTCAGTGGTGAGGAAGACATTGTCAGTCCAAGTCTCCTGGTCAGTTTGTCAATGTGCATTGTGAGTTGTAAGCCCACACTCTGTGCTATATCATCAGCAGGTCTCAGTAGAGCCCCAGCCAACTCCGTCCTGCTACAATCTGGAGGTGGAGGGATGGCTTAGTGAGAGTGGCAGCTGCTGGAGTGACGAAGACCCTACAACTGCTTCAATTATTCTGGACTGAGTCTCGAGTAGCCTTTTAGCTATGTTTTGTGAACAATTTAAATGTGCATTTGCACGAAAGTCTGCTAAACCCTGTCTTCTCCGAAGGATCGGAGCGCTGGCTAGATTAGCGGCCGTCCGTGCATGCCGTACATTTGCGCATGCGCTAAATTATCGCCGCGTCTCTCGTTCGTCCGTAGTCACGATGATAATATGCCTGTTGTTAGCGGCTACTTGTAGCTTTGGTGAGTCACTGTTTCATTGGTGGTTATAGATTTAACTGTATGAATGGATGTAGTGCTTGTTGCTGGAGAATGCGTGTTTCCAAGTGATAACCCTATTCAAGACTTGGTGGAAGGAGGCGCAGTGCCAGCACAACCCGTAGGCATCTATCGTACATATGTCTACACCGATGTGTTTGGTCTGGACTGTCGTGGATGTGTTAGAGCATTGAACTTCTGCTACAGTACTGGAAATTCTGAGAACGAAGAGTTATTGACCATTGAAATAAGAGGTGTTGGGAACTCTGGACAAGTACGAGACAATTATACAGTGGTGGTCAATTCAATGAGGGACCGAACTAACTGTACAGAGAGATACAACCTAGGTCATGATGATTGCTGTGTTGAGCAGACTCTGTCAGAATCACTAGAAGTCGACAATCAGAATAATTTCTATGCTCTGAGAATCCAGAATCCAGTATCCCTTCTTCTTTTTCATTCAACTGAGACTGTAGCTGGACACTGGGAAGATCGATTTGGCAATGTAATGCAGGGTGCTGTCTACAAGCCACTTTTCTACTTCGTCATTGACCCATCTGATGGTAGGTTAGCTAGCTATCACGGGTAATGATAATGAGGAATTTTCACTCAGGTGGCTGTTCTACTACTACACCAGGTGGTGCAGCCCTCACTGAAACTACAACAGACCATACCATTGAGAGTTGTACGATGGACAGCATGTGTACTACTGACAAGGTACGTTAGCTACCAGCTCCACAAGAAGGGATTTGTGGGAAGTTTTGTATGAGTATGTATATAAGGAGATATTTTGTACTTACAAAATTTACACACACACACACACGAGATATTTAGTACTTACGAAAAGTTTAAAAAAAAAAGCAGTAGATTTCCACCCAAACTCTTTTTTCTATGATGAAGTTTAGTTTGAGTGTGTCCTAACATAGCTAACACAATTGAGGGAAATTACCCAGAGGTCAGGTGGACTCCATAATCACAATGATCATTCCCAACACAGACACCAACATTCATCAATGGTGCCACATCAATTTCTTCAGCACCAAGACAGCAGAATACAAGAGGACAAGTGGTGTACATCGGTGTGGGTGTGAGTGTGGGAGTGGTGGTGCTGCTAGCTGCAGGTCTCATCCTCATCTCTGGGACTGTGTGTCTCAGACGAAGGTCAAAGAAGAAGAAGCTACTGATCACATCCAGTAATGTGGCATATAACTCGACCAATGCTCAGCTATCAGTTACCAATGAGACCTCAACTGAGGAGTACGACTATGTCTCCACCCACCGACTACGCCCACCACACCACTGACCACACCCACAAAACCAGTGGTGGAGAAGACATGACTGAGAACACGGCCTACGGTGGGAGACGGGAGGAAGTAGAGTTGAGCGGTAATGAGGCCTATGGTCAGAATGAAGTGGAGCTGAGGGATAATGAGGCCTACGGTGCCACAGCCACTGGAGGTGTGAGAGAGGAATATGACTATGTCCACCACTACTGAGCTACGTAGCTACTCTCATTAAAAACTATGATGATGTGTCAACCTCACGCTTATTTCAATTTGTTCCCATATATATCATTTATGCACATGTGTAACAGAATCTGTTACAGGTGCACATTTCAGCATTTCACTGTGCTTTAGTCAGGCTAAGACTTAGGAATTGGGCCTATACTACACTGCTGTTAGCACAGAAGTGGAGATGGTGTATATAGACGAGAGAGCATTGGTATACCCTAAGTTAAGACGAATATGCTATAGTGATGAAGACCCTAATCTCTACCGTCCGCTCAGTAGGAAATGGATAGCTCTGAATTATGCGCATGCGCAGTGTGCGGAAAACGTTCGTTTGCTCGATCGCACTCGCAGCCTCGCAGGCAGATAATGTTCGAGCTGAGAGTCAAGATGACCTTGCACATGGTTGTTGCATGTCTGTTTTTCTGCAGTAGCTGTGTTAGGTGAAATTTGTCAGTTTCCACCTGATCATCCAGTTCAAGATTTGGAATCGGGAGAGGCGGTTCAAACGCAAATCCTAGACCACAGTCGTGTGTACATCTACAATGATACGTTCGGGAACTGTCACGGATGTGTTAGATCAGTGAGGTTCTGCTACAGACTTGGGAGTATTGAGAGTGAAGACCTGATGACCATTGAAATTGGAAATGGCCCCAGAGCTACTCACACAGTCACTGTCAATTCAACTCATGACAGAGCCAACTGTGGAGCGAGGTACAGCCTGGACTTCGCTGAATGCTGTGTGGAACAGATGTTGACGGAATCATTTGTAGTTCAAAGTCCAGACTGGAACTATGCTCTGAGAATATTTAATCCATCATCTTCTCTTCTTCGTCATCTGACTGAGACTGTGCATGGCCAGCAGAAAGATCTGAACGGTGTCCCTAATGAAGATCCATTGTATAATCCACTGTTCTATTTTACCATTGATACATCTGATGGTAGGTTAGTTATGTATCATCACAGCTAACCATAAAGAATTTTGTACTCAGGTGACTGTTTAAATATCCCCACTCCTGTACCAACTTCAACAGATGGCACCACTGAGAACTGTGCAACAGAGAGCACATGTGCTACTACTGATACGGTACATTAATCTACCAGCCCGGCAAGAGGGCATGAGAAATTATGTGCAATATTGATTAAACCAACTACATTGAGTATGTAGAGAGTTTAGTACATACGAATGTTCCACCCACTCTTGCCTATATATATATATAGTGTGTGCCAGAATTGCATGGGATGGGTGCTCCATAATCACAATGATCATTCCCAACACAGACACCACCATTTCTCGATGGTGCCACATCAATTTCTTCAGTACCAAGACAGCAGGATACAAGAGGACAAGTGGTGTACATTGGTGTAGGTGTGAGTGTGGGAGTGGTGGTGCTGCTAGCTGCAGGTCTCATCCTCATCTCTGTGACTGTGTGTCTCAGACGAAGGTCAAAGAAGAAGAAGCAACTGATCACATCCAGTAATGTGGCTTATCATTCGACCAGTGCTAAGCTATCGGTGACACATGAGACCTCAGCCGTGGAGTACGATTATGTATCCACAGCATGCCCACCACACCCTGACCACACGCTCAACGTCAGTGGGAATCCCGTCTATTGTGGAAGACTGGAGGAAATAGTAGTGGAGGATAATGAAGCCTACATTGCAACCAAAATTTCAACAGTCAATGGTGGTGGAAAGGAAGAGGAATATGAATGTACGTACTACTTGTGACAGATATACACATACCTGTGACATTTGGCTAGATGTCAACCATCATGCAATGCTTATGGGCTGCAATGGAATCATTCTATAGTCACATTGTATTATGTGAAACAGCTCTATAGCTAGCTAGATATCGGTTGCAGGTAACATGAGAAAATAGTTGAGGTGATGAAGGCCTGTTTCAGCTCTACTAGCGGTTGCAGATGGTGTGTGGGGAGGACAGAAGACCCACAACCACGGGTAATCCGGTGAACCTCCCCTATATTATTATACTAAAGGGGAGAAGCCGGAACAAAGCTCAGAGATTACTACAACTACGTAGCTGACCAGTTAGCTGTAGACACTCGAGCCACCGCACACTGGCGACTAACATACCAGGCCGTTTTGTGCGGCCCGGAAACTAACTCACGACGCCCCGCTCGCTGCGCTGCGCAGTAACGATGCGCATGCGCGCGACGAGAGCCGCGAAGATACGTGTGACGGATTGTTCCCTAGTTTTGAGTCGCGAAATCTCGATTGTTTGTTGTCGGTATGATTGCGTACTTGTGTCTGTTTTCTGCTTCACTTGTCTTGGCCGAATATTGTCAGTTTCCAGCTGATCATCCCATTCAAGATTTGGAGTCGGGAGACACGGTTCGAGTACAAATCTTAGACAGCAGGCGTGTTTATATCTACACTGATTCGTTCGATGACTGTCGCGGATGCGTTAGATCAATAAAGTTCTGCTATTCAGCTGGTATTGGTGATAATGTAGAGCTGATGACTATTGTAGTTGGAAATGATCCAAGAGAAAGTCATAGAGTCATTGTCAATTCAACTCACGATAGAGCCAACTGCGGACAGAGGTACAGTCTGGGTCTCGGTGACTGCTGTGTGGAGCAAATATTGACTGAATCATTTGTGATTAGCAGCCAGAGTAGGCACTATGCTCTCAGAATACGCAATCCACCAGCTTCCCCTCTTCGTCATCAGAGCAAGACCGTAGCTGGAGAAATTGTGGATCTAAATGGAAACCCTATTCTAGAGCCCGTGTATCAACCACTTTTCTATTTCGTCATTGATCCTTCTGATGGTATGTCATCAGTTTCGTTATTTATCATGGCTTGTGATAATGTGGAGTTTTCTCTCAGGTGACTGTTCAAAAAAACCGACTGTTGCACCAGATGATATTACCATCAGTAAAACTACCAGTGTGTTACTATCAGCACCAGTGCTATTACCATCAGTGAAACTACCGGTGGTATTACCATCAGTGAAACTACCGGTGGTGTAACCATCAGCACCAGTGCTATTACCATCAGTCAAACTACTGGCACAGAGGACCATGCCAACTCTACCATCAACAATGCTTCCTTTACTAATGATACTACCGACAAGGTATGTTAGTCACCAACTCAACAAGAGAGCATGACAACAAAAGCTATTGTGTCCGTATTCATATTGCTGGACTGGGAAAATTAAGTAGCTACCTCACCCAAAGTCAATTTTATCACTTGAATGTAATACCTACAGGCTACAAGAGGACAAGTGGCGAACATCGGTGTGGGTGTGAGTGTGGGAGTGGTGGTGCTGCTAGCTGCAGGTCTCATCCTCATCTCTGGGACTGTGCTGTCTCAGACGAAGGTCAAAGAAGCCTCTAAACACGACTGGGAGACATACCTACCAGCTCCCCCGTCCACCACGCCCTGACCACACCTCCAATACCAGTAGAGGATGTGTGGCCATCTCTAGTAATGCAGCATATGGACTGACAATGGGAGAAGGCCTGACTCAGAATGAGGCATATGTGGAGCAAAGTGGTAATGTGACTGCCTCAGCCAATGGAGGAGAAGCTGGTGTGGAACATGAATATGACGACATCGCAGGATATCACTACTACAGCTATCCTGTGACTAATATACTGTAGTTTGCATGCATTTTCTTGTGCAAAGCCACTTAATTGACAATGTTTGTGTCGGTAATAGGTACATGAAAAGTGCCACGGATTGAGGGAGGGAATCATCACTACGCGACGTGTTTTGACTACTGCAAAGCCTGTTGGCACAAAAATTCCTGGCAACAAAATGGGTTTTGTGTATCATGCAACAAAGGTGCGTGTATATTCGATTTCAGCGTGGACTAATGTTGTCCGGCAAAACAGCACAAAGACGTTCAGAGCATGTGCATTTGAAACTCAACTAGCTACCTGGAAAAAGCTGAGGGAAAAGAGGCTGTTTTCTGGGAAGCAGGGGAAAGAGGGAAGAGAGGGTGTGAGTGGTGACATTGAGGGAGCGCAGGACTGGAAAGGAGAAGAGGTCAGGCAGACCAGCTCAGGAAGATGGCTGGTCAGTCAATGTTGCCCATGCGCGCAAGTTTGCGATGGGAAAAGGACATGTTTGCGCATGCGCGTCATTGTAAAAAGTGCACGACGCGTCCGATTCCCGTAGTATTGAGTGAATCATGATGGCCATACGCCTGTTGTTAGCAGCTACGAGCTGCGGTGAGTCACAGTTAGCAGTGGTTGTTTAGATATAACTGCGGCTCTATGTATTTCTGTAGTGCTTGTTGCTGGGAGAATGCGTGTTTCCAAGTGATAACCCCATTCAAGACTTGGTGGAAGGAGGCACAGTGCCAGCACAACCCGTAGGCATCCATCGTACATATGTCTACACCGATGAGTTTGGTACGGACTGTTGTGGATGTGTTAGAGCATTGAACTTCTGCTACAGACTTGGGAATTCTGAGAGCGAAGAGTTAATGACTATTGAAATAAGAGGTCCTGGAACTCTGGACAAGTACGAGACAATTATACAGTGGTGGTCAATTCAATGAGGGACCGAACTAACTGTACAGAGAGATACAACCTAGATCATAATGATTGCTGTGTTGAACAGACTCTGTCTGAACCATTTGAAGTCGACAATAAGAACAATTTCTATGCTCTGAGAATACCAAACACAGCATCCCTTCTTCTTTATCATGCAACTGAGACTGTAGCTGGACACGAGGAAGATCGATTTGGCAATGTAATGCCAGGGTGCTGTCTATAAGCCACTTTTCTATTTCGTCATTGATCCATCTGATATGGTAAGTACTGTTGTTACTGATTAGACTGTCATTGCTGGCTTTTCACTGCTCAGGTGGCGGCTCTAATACCCCAACTTGTGCGTCACCCAACCCCAGTGTTACTGAACCATCTCCTGACACTAGCACTGATAGCAGTACCCGAAACACGGATCAAACCACAGACTCTTCCTCTAGCAGCAGTGGTACTAGTACATCAACCCCGCCCCCCACTGCCGGACCCTGCACCTCAGAGTGGATCAGACCCCAATAACACTGGTCAAGTGGCTGGGATCGTAGCAGTCCTCCTGACCATCGTTGTACTACTGGTCGTGGTGGTAGTAGTGACTTTCATGTGTCTCAAGAAGAAGAAGAGACAGAGGAAGGTGGTGGTCAGTCGGGTTGGAGGGGAGGCAGAAGGAATGATCAATTTGGTCTATGGAGGTATAGGACACCACACACACACATCATACACACATTCATTATAATATATATAATATGTGGGTAGGGAAATTGTATAGTGTGTGTTTGAAAACAGAGCCCTCTAGTGTGATGGGATCATCTGTCTTACATGCAGCCACAGACAGTGAGAAGATGGAGGTTTCTGTTGCAGCTAGTGCTGCAAATTCCAACACCTATTGTGGCAAAACTACATCAGATAACACTGTAAACACTGCATGCCCCTTAAACCCCTTATATACTGAGCTGCAAATCCCTTTTTCTGTCACTTTCAACTTCTGCAGAAACACCAATACGAATGTATTGAGGATCTCCCTAGCAGGATTGAAGATGATGTAAGACTTAATTATGCTCAATCCACGCATAGATACTTTAGAAGTATCTTTAAAACAACACTTTTCCATGACCATGCATCCTTTCTGTGTGGAGCTTCCAGTTGTTGGGGCCTGGTAGTGGTGCTGTGTGTGTGTGGTAGATGCACTGTCATGTGAGCTGACAAGGCTTGTATATATATAGTACAGGCATTATCACTACCACTTATGTGGAGTGGATTAGTGCATGCATTGTTGAGCAGAGAGTAATTATCGGCACATTGAGTCCTGTACAAACATCCTTTTTGAGATGATAGCTGTGACAGTGTGTCCAACCAACTGTAGCAAATTGTCTCCCCCTCCATGTGTAGGTCCCTACTCCCTACATATATGCCTCTGCAGACACCTTGCCTCAGGGACAGGTATATCACCAGTGTGCAGGTAAATGACTCGGAATGTGGTGTCACCATTTTGTCTACTCTCTCAGGTCCCTGATTCATCGTATGCAGCAATCGGAGCTGAAGCGAATGCTGGGAAGGTAGGCAGGGCTAAGAGATTTAAAATTGAATAAAAACTGTGCCTCGTATGCAGCGACCCAGTCTCCACTATGAGGTGGACAGTATCTACGAGGCTCCCGCCAGTAGTGAGAACGGTCTCTACGCCCAATACGAGAAGATAAAGATCTCCACTATTCCGAGAAGCACCATTGAGTAAGTTGCTCACAAACTCTAAACATATGAAATTTCCACAGAATGTTGAAGGTGTTTTCTTCCTCGAACGTTTCCGCAACACAAAACTCTCAGAATGCAGAACTAATTAACGATCATGCTGCAAGTATGCACAATAACAAAAAAACATTCCACATCTGCACAAACACAAGGAATGTACCAATTTTCAGCATCCAGCTGTGCAAACACAATGACATCATTGATGTGTCTGGCTCCCATACGTCGTTCCCATGTGCCACACAGAGCCACCGAGTGTCTGGGCTCAGGCCAGTTTGGCACGGTCAACAAGGGGGTGTGGCAGAGCCCCAGCTCACCACTGGAGGTGGCCATAAAGACCCTCAAGTCGTCGGCCAAGGAGGAGGACAAGGTCAAGTTCCTGCAGGAGGGAGCCATCATGGGCCAGTTCAGACACCCCAACGTGGTCAAACTCCACGGCATCGTCAGGGAACAACAGACTGTGAGTTTAATCACCAGAAATCCATACACAACTCTCCATTTTATTATCCCCCATGATGAAAGAGAAAAATTCCCCCACTAAGACTCCCGATACATGGATAAACATAAACATGTGTGCTACAGACTGTGTTTGGTGGTATATATAGTGGTGTAAGGTAACATGTATTGATACTGGTGTGGCGTCTTATATTATAGAGGTTGGGTGTGGTGTCCTATTTCTGTCATCAGGTGTTGCTGGTGATAGAGCTGCTGGCTAAAGAGGACCTGAGAGAACACCTGCTCACTCTGAGACCAGAGTACGTCCACACTCACCCTTGGTTGCTCCACACACATATACCCTATTAGACCTGCACGTGCATGATACTTGCATGATTTACGTAAAAAAACACCCCTTGCTCTAAGGAATTGGTTTCTGTTTCCATTCCAGAGAGGGAGAGAGTGTTAACTCTGGCCTGCCTCACACTCTGTTGAGCTACTGTCGTCAGAGCATCTCAGGGCTCTCCTACCTCGCCAAGAAAGGCTTCGTGCACCGAGATATAGCTGCCAGGAACATACTCCTTTCAGAAGACCATGAGACTTGCAAGGTCTGGACTCACACACACATGCGCGCACGCTCACATGCTCACACACACAACTCATGTGTCCTACTTGAGTATGGTGGGTGGAGGAGGCATGGCAACAAACGAGGGGAGGGTGGTAAACCACTTTGTTCATGGCAGCTGGTGATGAGGGTCTGCCAGGGCTTGTGTCATGTTTTGGAGCCACTGGTACGACTGAGCTCAGTGGCTGTTGTTTTCCACCTCTGGCGTACTTGTCTGTCCTCTGAGAATAATGCATGAGAGAGTGTGGGGGAGGAACTGCCTAAAAGAATCTACCGTAGTTTAATTTGTCCTCCCCATGAAAAGGATTTGCAGAGTAATCATTTTCCTCGCCGGTGGCTACATACTATCTGGCCTACTAGCCAAATGCGAGCGGCCCTATTTTTGGAATCAGTTACGACTGGAGATGTGTTTATGCTAAGCCCTGTTTATCTTGGCCAGTGCCCTATTCAGGTAGTGTGACCATTGACCCTTTGATGTGTATACCTCAGATTGCTGATTTTGGAATGTCAAGAGATCTGGCCGACGAGACGTACTATATATCCCGTGGAGGCAAGATCCCTGTCAAGTGGACTGCTCCAGAGGTAAAATACCTCCGACACACACTGATTATTAATTTTACTACTCTCTCGCTGTTCTCAGGCTCTCCACTACAAGAAGTACTCTACAGCCAGTGACGTGTGGAGTTTTGGGTGTCTCATGTATGAAATATGGAGTCTCGGACACAAGCCTTTTGAAACACACACCAATCCTGAGGTAGATGGTTGCGTAACACACAGAGGATGCCAGGATAAGTAGATTTCTCTCCTCATTTCAGGCAATCAAGATGGTGGATAAAGGGTATCGCTTGGCCCCACCCCCTGGCTGCCCTCGGGCAATATACCAGCTCATGATCAAAACCTGGTCAGTCGGCTTATTAATTTGCTTTCATACTCTGATTCCATGACCTTATGCATCACATCATGTTTTTATCGCAAATTTTGCAATATTGATGTGTTCAGTCAATTTTAAGATTTGATTGCTGTGTACTAAAAATGGCTATAATATTACGGCGACATGTAAATGTAAATGCTCTCCCTATCATAATGAGTTGATGATGAAAAACGCAGGAATCCCACTCCATCAGAGAGACCTATGGCTGAGACCCTCTCCCAGAACCTGAGTAGACCTGATCCTACCCTCCTTAGTTGGAACGTCTCTGACAAGCCGGCCGGGGTACCCCAGGCACTCCAGCTGGGGGGTCCTCTCGACTCCACCCCTCTCCTGTACCCTGACCTCCAGCGAACATACCTCCCTCCAGACCTCACCAACAACGACTACGATGAACCCTCCTAAGACTAACTCTAGCTACAATCCTTTTGTATTTTAACCCTCCATGTCATTTTTTAACACTGTGTGTGTGCTGCATGTGAAATCGATAATGTTTGCTGCCAGTTTAGTTTATTAACAACTCTTGTGTAAATATTGCCTGTAACTCATCACTTGTTTGTAGTACAAAACTGAGTCGTTTGATTGATTAATTATGTGTAGCTGGCCTGAAACTGTTTCCTGTCCACAGTTTGCATGAAGTAATTTGAAGCGTGCGCGCGTGGTTTTGTGGCATGGGCTTCTGCGCGAAGCACGGTGACCGCATTTGGCTCCCTGGTCAGCGAACGCCCGCGCACAATCTCCATAAATCGTATTTAGTCGTCCTGCAGTCCAGATGGGCCCAAAAGCTCCATGTGCTGCCGTCCAACGATCGTACGCAACTGCAACTAGGCGGTGGTCGGCGATTGGACCGTTTTCCTCGAGAATACACTCAATGGCGGACACTGGGATGGGTCGTATCGCTGCTGCAGTATTTCTGTGGATACTCGCATCTGGAGGTAAGCTAATGCTTATTCCACGTCGTTCCGTCTTTCACCTACGAATTTCACCCTCCACGACTGCAGTAATTCCATCAGCATCGGCCAGTGACGGGTTCGCATCTCTGGAAGTGATCAGGAACCCAGGACCCCGAGTAATGCATGCAGACAGCTTCCAGGATCAGAGAGTTCTGTGGCTCTTCCCATTCCTCAACTTCACCCAGAGCAGGAGCATCACTGGTTGGGCTTTCCGGGCTCAGTCCTCACAGGCGATTTCCAGGATGACTACAGAGAATATGCCTCTATTCCAGCTGTGGCAGGAGACGACAGCCACAGACACTCTCGACTATCGCTGCATCAAAAACTGCAACCAAACGGATGGCCTGGTGGAGTCAGTTCAGGAAATCTTTACAGGCAGCAGCTCAGTGTACAAGCAGACCTTGGTGACCCCTCTCGAGGTCTCTCCCAGCGAACATTTCATTCTGGGGGTTCTTCTGCCATCTTCTGAAGGGAACCACCTGAACCTGGCCTTTCAAAACGATGAGATGAAATCTGCAGACCGACGGAGCTATTTCTTCAGCTCAATGACTAGATTTGTCGCCATTAGAGAAGAGACGTACAGAGATAATCTCCACATCCCATTGGTCACTCCACTCTATGGTAAGCTGGGAACACAGCATGGTCTCATGTTATGAAGTTGTTGCCTATTATTTCCCAAAGATGAAGCACCATCTATTACCACCCCTGACAGGCCAACTAAACACACTTCATCGGTTCCCCACATGTCTGCAGGTCTGTCTGCATGCATATCCCAGGAAGCCTAGTTCGTTTAATGGGTGTCAGTTTTTCATGATGAACTACTGTGATTCCTTTCACCTTTCAATGTACACAAACAGGTACGGTGGCAGTTTTCCCTGTCGGCCCATCACGAACCAGCTCTAGTACACAGCCCAATACTTCGACAGCTCCTACCCTTTCCACACTGCCTCCCAACACCTCTCCATCTTCCAGCCAACCTCCAATTGCACTGATTATAGGGGCAGTCATAATCGGATTAGTAGTCCTCACGCTGTTACTACTGGTGCCGGTCCTACTACTCAAATACCACCAGTTGAGGCTTGGCAAGAGGAGAACACATCTGGACAACCCCACGTATGAAGGTGAGAGACAGGAGAGGGAGGGAGTCTAGAAGTCTGCGGCAGTGTGAGGTGATAAACGGTGTTGCCAGGGTCAGGCCCTAGTCAGCCTTCTTGGTTTCAATTCTATCAAAGGAAGATTTGCCAAGAAGATAATTAGGTTATGGATGCTGTTGGAAAACACAGTTGTTTGAACTTCTGATATCTCGGTCATCAGTAATCAGTGGCAGCTGAGCTGCAGTGATGCTGTTTACCCATCACTGCAGATGTGAATATGCAATTAAGTGGACCTGTTAATGCCTTGTTGTCCAACCATTCATTCTCCCACTCCACCCACTCTTACTCCCCAGTCTCCGAGAATGGAGCGGCCAAAAGATCAACAGCAAAGAGTAACACCTCGTCTAACGGAAGCTACCCTGCCTACGCTAATCCAGCACAGCCGACTTTTCTCTCGGCCACCCTCCCTCCCCTCACCTCTCATCAAGTCTCCCCCCACATTCCTCCTCCACTCATCCTCCACCACTATGAAATAGATGAAAACAGGCAGAGTCGTGTCTACGACCAACCAAATCTGAGAGCTGCCACCATGCCTCCTCCCCTCCCCTACGAAGTCCCCATGGTAAGTTTAGGTTACCCTCTCACTGCCAACTCTTACAATACACTGAGGCAATTGCTAGCTATTAGCTAAACATTTTCCCTCTATGAGTACCCCTGTTTCCTAGTAAAACTATAGACACACACACTCTATTCATCCACGGTTTCTGGCTGTCTCCTCTATAGGCTCCCACTAGAGAGCCGTCCACTACAAAGCACCACGTTTACAGTGAGCTGGAATGCGGGGAGGCACCCTCTCTCTCCACCACACTCCAGGTGAGCTTGGCTCCCGTGACACATGCCACACTCAACTTTGCCCTAGGCGGGGATCAAAAATTGAATATCTTGCGAGTTCACACAGTAGTTTGAGTAAAGTTCCCCCAATCCCGTAAATTTCTCCATCCAAGTTGTATATTTGGGGGACTGGTGTGTGTTTTCAATTCTCTCAATCTGACTACGGGAGATGTTGTGCATGTCTGAGGTCAGTTAGTGCAGTGGGTAAGACGATGAGCACCTGTTCAGCGTGTGAGCTGGGCAGAATGCAATCAGAGAAAAATAACATTCCTCGCTATGCCATTGCAGCATTCCGCCATCTTTGAGCTTCTAGCTGTTTTTGGAGAGTGGAGAAGATTAGTGTTGGCAGAGCTGTCACCCTGCCCTTCTGCCCTCTGCCAGGCCTTTCATACCCTTCACCTTATTCTGACATCACCCTTCTAAACCTCACTACTTGCCACTCTCAGCACAGCTCCACTTACATCCTTAGATCGCTACGCATATCGTACCATATTGGAACTCAAAATCACAAGTTAATCCGATTTCCAAGCAGATTGTGAAGGTGTTAGTGCACTTGTAACTAGATTATGCAATTCTGCACATTGGATGAACAGGAGGGTAATTCTATTTGTCCACCAACTCCCACTCTTTCCTGACACTCTCTCTCCTTACATGGCCAATGAGAGCATACCCCCACTCCCCTACTATTCTGTGCCCACTCTTACCAAAACACCCCAGCCTTCTCCCCTTCTTTTGATGCATTCACGTCTCAATGGACATGCTGTTCTGTTTGTATACAGAGTAGCATGTGTCTTCCTGCCTCACACGTGGCTCTCTGATTAATGTTCCTTAGGAAGACAAGAAATCTCTCATCAGTGGATCTCAAACTTCTTCAATCTTTGACAATTCCATATACAAAGACCCCAACCATGTGAGTGGGGAAACAATTCCACAAGTAGATGACTACACATTACACTACATACAGTACTTTATCCAACCCATGTATTGACGCTCTTCTCTACCAATCTCTCTATAATAGCTGGTGCCCAATGCAAATGGCAATCTAGAAGGAAACGATGATCTCTACTGGAAGCCTGCCTCCTCCACTCGCCTGCTCTACGACCAGCTCTCACACAGAAAATTTCCAGAGATTCTCAGAGACAACATAAGGTATGATGTAATACCATGGTCATATGTCCCTGTTTGGCAGAGAGGGACTTGACTTGTTTGCGGTGTTGGCTGTTCCAGTGAAAAACACTTGATTTAGTCTGGCTTCTGTGTGTTTTTGACTTCGACCACAGCTGTGTGTGGTTTTTGGCATAGCAGAGCTGGGGCTGACTCACTCTTTCATTTCCAGGTTAACCGAGCATCTTGGCTCTGGCCAGTTTGGAACCGTCAACAAGGGGGTGTGGCAGTCCCCCTCAGGTCCAGTAATGGTGGCAATCAAGCAGCTCCAGCTGAGAGCGGCAGAGCTGGACAGAGTACGGTTCCTGCAGGAGGCAGCCATCATGGGCCAGTTCTACCACCCCAACGTTGTCACCCTCCATGGAGTGGTCACAAAGGACGATCCGGTAAATACACCCACACACCACACCCACTCATCCCTTTGACATAACCCTATACAAACGTTGTGCAGATTATGATTGTGCTGGAGTTTATGTCCAATGGAGACCTTCGAAATTCTCTACTCAAGATTCGCCCACTGTAAGTAGTACACTGTCCACTTGGTTTTCCTGATTCACACTACTATCTCTTGTTCTGCAGTCCACATGAGCCAGTGCCTGAGACTCTGCCACTGCTGCTCCTGAGGTTCTGTCAGGAGGTGGCGACCGGTATGGCATATCTCTCCAAGAAAGCCTTTGTCCACAGAGATCTGGCCGCTCGCAACATCCTCCTGGACAGCAACAGCACCTGCAAGGTCTGAACCTCTCTCATTCCAGAGAAGAAAGTATTTACAGTGATTTTGATTTTTTTTTAGATTGGTGATTTTGGAATGTCGAGAGATTTGGAAGACAGTGATTACTACATCACTCATGGAGGGATCATCCCTGTAAAGTGGACTGCCCCTGAGGTAATTAAGAAGTTGATGATATGTATTCGAAAGTGACCATCTTACGTATTTGTGTGTGCAGGCTCTACACTATAAGAAGTACTCTACAGCCAGTGATGTGTGGAGTTTTGGGTGTCTCATGTATGAAATATGGAGTCTCGGACACAAGCCTTTTGAGCAATATGGAAACATGGATGTATGTTCACACTAATTATCATTCTCGATAAACCAATACTCTCTGGTTCTGTTTTTCTATCTCAGTGTATCCAACTGGTGAGTCAAGGCTGCAGGCTTCCTCCCCCTGCTGGCTGCTGCAGAGCTCTGTATAAGCTCATGATACTGTGTTGGTGAGTCACGGGGTCAGTGGTGGGTGGGCCAGTTTCTTCCTTGACTTTGAGGAAACCTCATTTCCTGGGCCAGCAGAAACCAAAGTCTATTGAGGGTGCCAGGAGTGCATTATAATACATCCTCCCAACCTGCCTCATGTCCAGTGATCTACACACTTAGTTCCTCCATTATAGTCCATTCCTGTCAAACACATTGACCACTACCATAGAGACTGTCGTGTAATTTCCCTCCCTTCAGGCACAAGGATCCATCCCAGAGACCAGTATTCTCGGAAATGCAGCACGTCCTCACACACCTCAATACTCAACTGCTGGAAAAGGTTGATCCTCGTTTGGGTCGACTTGGAGGACCTCTTGAAGCAGGCGATGGGGTCTACCCTGATCTTCAAGACTACTACCTCCAGGACCAGAGTGACTCATCCTCAGACAGTAGATAGTGCATTTCCAATTGAATTTGTTTTTGTTTTGTATGTTTACGTATGTGTATACTTGTTTGTGTCTATTAGCACCTATAGAGGATTTACCTAAACGGAAATGATGTGTATGAGCACTTCCTGCGCGCGCCAACGCGTCGTAACTAAGTAGCGGCGCGTGCGAGCTGCATTCAGCACTTTGCTTGCAGTCAAGAAACGATGAACGTTCCAACGTTTGCCTATGCAATGCTACTAGCTAGTGCAAGTATTGCACTAGCAACTGGTAAGTAATTTTGTGCAAAAGTGCCCGCGTACTGCGTTACTTTCTGTGTCTCGGTGACTGCAGAAAATACGAGGCTTGTTGGCGGTGCAGACATTGAAGAAATTCGACAAGATGCTCTAACAGTCTACGACGGAATTAACGCAACCACGCAGAGCACCGTGTACCCTGACCTGCGCTTCACGTGCTCGGGCAGCATCTCCTCCATCTGGTTCGTTGCCTCTGAGAGAGAGGGCGACTCAAATCCGCCCGTCTATGCCGAGTTCCGGCTGTGGAGGGGCAGCAGGATTGGGCAAAATTCACAGATCTCTATTTACAATGGCAATGTTCGAGACAGAAGATCTCCCCCCAGTAGTGGAGATGGACTACACGTTGACATCAGTGGTGAAGATGTGATGCTCTACCAGTATGTTCTGGAGGACCCGTTGCATTTTGAAGAAGGAGATGTGTTTGGAATCAATCAAGACCAGGAGTCTACACTAGAGATATGGTCACTGGATGGTGGCGGGGTGAGGAACTATAGATGGGTTTCAATTCGACGTCGTCTGGCGCGTGCCTATGCTCCTGATGGTAGGTTTGACCTGGAACCTCTGGTAGCCATTGAAGGTACGTCTTGGCTGATCTAGCAATGCTTAGTTCCAATGATTTCAGTCTTCTTCAATCTCTCACTTTAGGAATGAATTCTTCCTGTTTTGAGGGATTTCTTAGCGTTGAAGCTCTGCAGCTCTACATAGAGACTACAGAAGAAGAGGCAATGGATCGCGATACATCTCCAGCTGTTATTCCCAACAGTACTCCGTCCTATGTGTTCCCCAGTCTACAAGTGGTTGAGGACGGTCTTCTGGAGAAGTGGCTGTTTGCAGCTGATATCGTACGGACTTTGCCGGCAGGAGAAGAACCTATCTCTATCGAGTTTCAAATCTGGCAGAGTGTTGAAGGGAGAGCAAGTCTCAACCACACCAGCAGTATCACTAGAATAGCCAGAACTGGCTATCCAAACGTGTATGAACACGCAGTGGATCCTCCCCAGCCAGTACTGAGTGGAGATTTTGTTGGAGTTAAAGTACAGCTGCCATCGTCTCTGAGGCCCCTGTGGGAATCTGGGAACGGAGCAGCTTATTACTCAGTCTCTGGCACGGAGGGAGAGATAAACAGTTCAAATTTCGCTGGGTTTGCTGTTCCTCTCTTTGCTGCCCAAATCAAAGGTAAATATTACTCATCATTAAGATTATGAATTCACAAATTTATTGTTGTTTTTAGTCACAGAGCAAACTCTTCCAACAAGCTCATCAGTTAGGCTGATTAGTTCCTCAGAGTCCCTTACTATGGTTACCACCAGTGCAGCTGGACTTACTTCGTCTACATCACCAATATTGACAATGTCTTCACCAACACCTTCCACTCAACCAATGCCGACGTCTTCTCTTGCACGTTCAGATGTGGCATCCAGCACAGCATCATCACCATCACACTCTCCCTCAACTCCTCCAGCAGCCTTCCTCATACCTATTGAAGTCAACTCTCTAACCCAAACACCAACTGTTGCATCAGGTCCTACAGTTTCTCCTGATGCACCAAACAGCATGCTCCCCAGTGGGAATGCAGACAGCAAAAACCTGGCGGTGATGGTGGCTGCGATTGTGACAGTCATTCTATTGCTGGGTCTAGCTACAGTGGTCACTGCTGGACTCATACTCTGCCTGTGGAGAAAGAGACGTCGCATCAACCAGAGATCGAGACCATCTTCCCTGCCTCGACGCAAATCAAAGTCGGGTTTCTTTGACAATCCAGTCTACGACCATCTCCAGAGGAAGCTATCTAAGGATTCTCAAGGGTATGCCTCAATCTACGACCACGTCTATCTGGAGGTCCCAGAGGAAAAAGATCTGGAGAGGGCACGATACACAAAGCACGGAGATGGCGACAGTGGTTATGCCGAACCAGAAGTGAAAATCACAGCTCCATCTCTTAAACCCGGAGAATACTCCGAACTCACAGCATCCCCGTCTCCCTGCAGTTCCCCTTACCCCAGACGATCTCCCTCCCCTTGTCCTTCCCATGCTTCAGCCACCACGCCCATCAAGTTCAACAACCACCACACCCTGGATTCCTGTCCAGTGGCCGAGGAGTATCTTCAGCCTTGTCCCAACAGCCTAGTCAGTGGTACCAGCGACGATTTCCTTCGCAAAGCCACCTGCTCGCAAGACGACAATAAGACATCCAGTTGCGAAAAGATTGCCCACGAGTACCATGAACTGGAGCCTACCACAGGGGTAAGGGGTGTAGGTATGATAATATGCACGAGATTATTGAGTTTAGAGTGAGAAACATGTAGTGAACCTCTAGTGTGTATGGTCTCTCTTTTCCATTTTCCAGGGCTACCATCGACTGGAGCACAACCTTACAGGGATCTATGTGCCAACACAGGTAGACTAGCACCGAGTATAACACACTCTTAATGAACATTACTCATGCGTTTTGACATTTGTTTCAGGCACAGAGAAGAGAGTCAGTAGACAAGGAAGACATTTACACCACAATTGAAGAGGTGGGTCAAATGTCTGCACCATTGCCGTATGAGATTTCATTGTGTGTTCTATTCTCACAGAGAATGTATGCAAACGTACCTGATTCTAGCACACTGGATTTCTTTGAAGAGAGACCATCATATTGGAGACCAGCATGTACCTCTGATGAACTATACTCTCAGCTAGCCCAGAACAAGTACCGAGAGATCCTGCAAACCAATATAAGGTGAGGGTGAACTATTGATGCATGCACAGTGAAGGAGGTGGGTGTCGGTCCGCAGGATGCAACATGTTCTTGGGTCTGGTAATTTTGGGAAGGTGAGTAAGGGGGAGTGGGAGTGTGGGGAGGGGCCAGTCGAGGTGGCAGTCAAGACTCTGAAGAGTGGGTCGTCAGAGGAAGAGGCTGTCAGGTTCCTGCAAGAGGCAGCTATCATGGGCCAGTTCAGACACCCCAACATCGTCCAGCTCCTAGGAGTTGTCACTTTGGCTGAACAGGTAAGTCAAGAGTCCCACTAATGCTCCTAAGATTCATTCTCTGAATACCTTTCCTTACGGTTCCCCATGTCTTCCTCTTCCAGGCCATGATAGTGCTAGAGTTTCTGTCAAGAGGTGATCTGGGGACTTTTCTTGTCAATAGACGTCCAATGTAAGATATGCTGATAGGTTATCTCAGACACCTCGTGGTGGTGGAGCTAACATGTGTTTTGTATGCCCCAAGAATTTTTTAATGAGCATTGCGCAAGGAATCAGGCATGCAGGGGGTGCTGAACTTGCACACTATACAGAGGATGTTTACTCTATAGCATCCTCTCAGTCAATGGGTATCATTGCCTGCAGGCCTGGATCATCAGTTCCTCAGGACACACCGTTCCTCCTCCTGAGATTCTGCGGAGATGTGGCTTCAGGAATGGAGTATCTTGAGAGGAAGGCTTTTGTACACAGAGACCTGGCAGCGAGGAACATCTTGGTCTCTGAGGACAACCGCTGCAAGGTACGACACTCGGTGCCCTTACACTCTATGGGCTCTATGATTTACATTCACCAGATTGGAGACTTTGGGCTATGTCGAGATTTACTAGACGAGGACTATTACATTACTAAAGGAGGTATGATCCCCTGGAGATGGACTGCCCCTGAGGTAATCACGGTTTATTGCTTGCAAGCACCAGTTTTAAAATGGCTGCCCAATCTGCAGGTTCTACACTACAGGAAGTACTCAACAGCCAGTGACGTGTGGAGTTTTGGTTGCCTCATGTACGAAATATGGAGTCTTGGGCATGCACCATTTGAAAAACTCTCACCTCAAGAGGTATGCTTATTGACACCACTACTCACCATGTGTGAGGTTTCAGCTGTGACGCAATGTGATGCTCCACAAGGTTCAGGTGATGCTAGAGAAGGGAGAGAGACTGGCCCCGCCTCCTGGCTGTCCTCGTGGCGTCTATTCCCTCATGATTGACTGCTGGTGAGCCACAATTGTCTCTTGGACAGATTCTCACTTTAACCCTCATTCTCTACGTTCTCGTGTTCGTTTTTTCCCCAGGCATCCTGAGCACAGTTCTCGGCCGTCTTTCCTCTCTCTCCTCAAAACGTTGGCGTCTTCTCCGAGCCAGCTGCTCAGTTGGTCCCACGAGGACACGTGGGGAGCAGGTGACGCAATAATCCTCGGAGCTTCACTACAGACCGGGAAACAACTATACCCAGAACTGCAGCTTACCTACACCCAGAGATCTCACCAATGAGCAACTAGAAGAATGCTATATTTCGTTTATCAGATTGTTGTTATTCACACCCATGAAGAGGAATTTTAATGATGTGTTGTTGTCATTTGAGATTTCACGATCTTCCGTGTGTGTGTGTGTGTGTTGTCACACTGTGTCACGTGAGAAAGTAGTAGCTGTGATATGGTTTCAGAGTGTGGTGACACTTAACCTGAACTGGACCTCCCACATGAAAGGCTTAAGACATTTGATTACTGAATCCCATATAGTTACGGGCTGACGGCATCACTATGTAGTAAGCAGATGGTTAGATCACTAGGCAGTTGGCAGTGTTGTTGCTTGTGTAGAGGCAGAAGACAGAAGATGAAGACAGCATCTCAAGGATACATGATGTTGCTCTTGACTGTTCTTCTCACAGGTAAGATTAATACCGGCATGTAGTTGCAGCCTTGGGAGATACAGAGTTGCTCTAATGCAGGTGAGACTAAGGGTGAGTATGCAGCCAGGTTTGACGTGCTGGGAGGGATCTAGTGCGGGTGGAGAGAGCAGGCATCAGGGCCTCCTGAACACTGCTCTGCTGGCCAGGCAACACACAGAGCTGTCAGGAGCAGTGGCTGTGTTCCCTGAACTCAACTTCAGCTGCTCTGGAGTCATACACAGAGTCTATCTGCTGGGCAGAGAAGGCAATGGATCTGATTCTCCCAACCTCACCTTCTGGCAGAGTGGAGCCCTATCTCCTCAGTTTAGACACAGCACCCCCCTCACCGATCTTCGTAGAGTGGTTTACAACTCAGCTACTGGTGTGGGGCTCTATGAGACGACTACTGAGGCTGAGTTTGTCAGTGGGGATATGATTGGGTTCTCTCAAGCAGAGGCCAATGTTAGTTCCTTTGTATTGAAGTATCAGGACATGACTGAAAAAACGCTTGTGATTGATGGTGGCATCTTCCCTGATGAACACAGGCTCTTTCCTCTGATAGCCATTGATTCTAGTAAGACACAGAAAGATATATGTATAGTACGGCCATCATAATATGGTGCCACACTGCAGGCAATCCCGAGTGTACTTCTGTATTCTTCAGTAGAGAAAGTCTGGAGCGAGCAGTGATGCTCTATCTAGGCATTGATGGTCGCGGGAGACTGGAGGAGAACACACGAAACCAACAACTCCTCTTTCCAGACTTGAGGTTCACGTGTAGTGCAACTGTCAGCTCGCTGATTGTAGGGGCAGACATACCTGTTGGGGGACTATCTGCTGTTCCAGAAATACAAGTCTGGAGGCTGAATGAGGGGAGCAGCGATGCATACTCAAAAGTGGACTCTGCTGTGTTGTCTAATAGCTTCATTCAAAGTGTGTCGGTCGGCCTGGCAGTGTACAGACTAGAGACAACCCTCTCTGTCATGGCTGGTGACATACTGGGCATATTCTACCCTCAGCCGAGCAACTTGCTGCTTCCCTCCCTGGCTGACCACGGCTCAGTGGTTCTCAGGAGAGATGTGGAGGGTTTCCTGCCTCCAGACTCTTTCCTGGGAGACAGTAATACAGTGAGCAGCAGGAGAGAGTGGCCATTGGTTGCAGTTAGCATGGGTGAGTGAATCGCTAATAGTTCTTTGGTAAATGAACCAGCATTGGTGTTTTGAACTAGGTGATTCAGGTTGTGTGGAAGGGTTTATGAGTCACAATCTCCTGTCTCTCCTGGTGGAGAGGAGGAAGCTCACACACCTATCTGGAACAAGTTCCGGTGTGGCAGACATATTTGTTTTTCCTGGTCTGAAGTTCACCACAGGTGGACAGCTACACAAATGGATATTTGTCTCAGGAGAAGATTTATTTCTCAGACCTGACTTCCCTCACTTCCGCGTATGGCGAAGTATTGGACAAGAATTTGTTGCTGTCAATGGCACCTATACCATGGGGCAAACCCCTGCCAGATCAATTAATCTGAACGTGTATGAATACACACTTGATCCACCAATACAAGTCATGGAAGGAGACTTTATAGGCTGGGAGCAGATGAGTGCTTCGCGAACCAGATTTCTTCCTCTCCTTCTCAACAACACTGGATATGAACTGCACACAGCCACTCACATGATTGGCAACAGAATCCTAGCAACCAAGCTCAGAGAATACAAGTGTGATCCTCTTATTGGAGTACAGTTTTTAGGTAAGGAATTGTGCATTCTAGGGAAATACAGCTGTGAAAGTTATCTTTCTGCAGAGGAAGTTGTTCCCTCACCCACAGTAGTGATGGATGTAGAATCGACTGCAGTCCCAACCTCCACAGAGCTGCCTACAGATGAGACAGATGGCGGTATTCAGGAAGTGTTGACTACGGTGTTAGGCTCTGGGTTGATGGGGTTAATCATTCTCCTGGGACTAGTTCTGATGTTCTTCTTTGTTATGTGGGCCTTTCGGCGACACAGAAAGAAAGGAAGGAGAGACATTGTTGCAGCATTTGATGAAAGAACACTGCAGAACCCACTCTACTCAAAATCGCAAGGTATACCCCACTTGTTTATGGAGAAACTTTTTGTTTAGATTAAGTATTGTTTCAGACTTGGCTGGAAGCCGTGACCATGAACTGCAGAATGGGATCGAAGAGAGCATAAAATCTACATCGACTTTACCGCCAGGAGCCTCCCCAGCACCTCCTTACGCAGCACCACCAATACCAACGATACGCAAAGACGGCTCAGTCCAGTACGACGAACCCATCACAACCTCCAAGACCCTACCACCAGTGGCTCCCAAGCCACATCGACCGACTCTTTCCCCTCTCAACAGCCCTCACTACCACACTCTAGACCCACAGAACTCACCATATGCCACTCCACAATCTTCGCCCACAAGTTTCGAGAAACCGGCTTCTCCCTCCAGCCCAAAGTACCATTCTCTGGAGCCCAATGCCCCTCACTCTCCCTTGCTCTCTCCCAGAAGCTCTCCACGTACTTCTCCACACTTCCCAGCAACTTTCTCTCCTAGGAGTCATGGACCCACCTCCTCCCTGGATCGGAGAACTTCACCATCCCTCTCCCCGTTTGCCTCGCTGGATCGTCGCCGGCCAGCTCACGCCAGGGAATTCTCAAACTCGTCTGAACGTCAGCTTATACATTCTCCGCATTATGACCCCGGGTATGACATCATCCAGCCTCCTCGCTGGGAGAGAATGGTATCCACGACATCGTCTATCCACTCCCACACACACTCTCGCACATCTTCACGTGCCACTCTCTGCGACGAAGAGCCAACTCAGCGTGTTTACCATGAGCTAACTCCAGAGGGGGTAAAACATATGTACATTACTATTCCCTTTCTTTTTCCATATGGTACATGAATGAAGGAGTCAGGCAAAACAAACATGTCCAGTGCCCCATAAACACTTTCACTCTCTTTCTCCAGGGCTACTCCAGACTCTACCACGGAGGCCTGTTTGTGCCCTACAAAGGTAAGGACTGGTACACACCCTGGCCTTTGGTAAACTGAGCAGGATTCTTTTGTGAAACATGATAGCAAGTCTGTTTACTATGTATTAGGAAGAGAGAGATAGGGCAATCACAACAGCTAACAGGAAGAAGATCAACATATATGCAGCATTGAGTGAGGTATGTAGGCTCACATTCCACATAGTGCAATATCATGTGATTCGTCATCAGTTTTCAGACAAACTGGAGAGAACGACCTGACTTTCTTCGAAGAAAGTGACACTTACTGGAGACCGGCTGGGGACTCAACTGCTCTGTATGACCAGCTAGCACAGAGGAAGTACAGAGAGATCATGAGGAACCAGATAATGTGAGGAATGGTGGATAGAGAAATTGTCAAACTGAGCTTTTCCCACAGGATGCAGCATGTTCTTGGGTCTGGTAATTTTGGGAAGGTGAGTAAGGGGGAGTGGGAGTGTGGGGAGGGGCCAGTCGAGGTGGCAGTCAAGACTCTGAAGAGTGGGTCGTCAGAGGAAGAAGCTGTCAGGTTTCTGCAAGAGGCAGCCATCATGGGCCAGTTCAGACACCCCAACATCGTCCAGCTACTGGGAGTTGTCACTTTGACCGAACCGGTTAGTTGCAGTATCATGTTGAAAGACAAACATTCTCCAGAGATGCAGTTTACTGTGATGTGTCCTTTGTCGGCGTCTCTAGGTTATGATAGTTTTGGAGCTTTTATCTCTCGGCGATCTCCGAAACCATCTGCTCAGTCTCGAGACCTTTGTAAGGAAACAGTGATGTGTCAACATTTCCTCTGCTCACTCCCCTTTCCCACTTCCACACATCAACACACTCCATGATGGTGACCACAGAACCCCTGGGGATGCAGTGGCAGAGGGAACGGAGGAGGGGCTCCTGGGTTTCTGTCGGGACATTGCCAGTGGAATGGAGTATCTCGAGAGGAAGATGTTTGTCCATAGGGACTTGGCCGCACGCAATATTCTAGTAGACAACAACAACAGCTGCAAAGTATGGGACGCTCACTTTGTCAAATTGTGATAGTTCATATTGTTTTTTTTGTCAGATTGGGGATTTCGGAATGGCCAGGGACCTTGAGAATGAGCAATATTACATTTCTCGTGGGGGGAAGATCCCAATACGATGGAGCCCACCAGAGGTAATGTACAGAGTTAGTGAAGTGTGACAGAATGCATGACTGGCCCTTTCTAATTAGGCCTTGAATTTCAAGAAGTATGCGACAGCAAGTGACGTGTGGAGTTTCGGAATTGTGATGTATGAGATATGGAGTCTCGGGCATAAACCCTATGAAGGCTACACCAATCCACAGGTTAGCTCCCTCACAATCACACACACACATAAGTATCAATGCTACTGTGCACAGATCCAGAGTCTGGTGGAGAGAGGGGAGAGACTAGCTCCACCACCTGGCTGTCCCAGACCACTCTACTCACTCATGATCAACTGCTGGTAATGATAATAGAGTGTGTAAACAGATATTGTTGGTTTATGCCTGGTGGTGACTATGATCACTGACATTGTCTGTATATACAACAGGCATCCAGAGCATTCCTGCAGACCATCATTCCTCAATCTACTAAAGACACTCAGCAGAGGCAGCAGTGAGCTGCTGGCCTGGGATGGAAGCCTGGAGGCGGGGCTGGACAAGACCGTTGGAGCACCCTTGGAGGCTGGAAAAAACCTGTATCTCGAACTCCAGCTTTCTCATACATACGTGTAATATTGCAGCTATAATTATTTCCACCGGAAGTAAATAATCACGTAGTCAATATAGTACGTGCGCAAGCGAACGACACCGCAAGTCGAGAAGATGTTGTCGTGGTTGGTGGCCGTTGCTGTGTCTGCCGCTCTCTGGATTGCAGGAGATGGTATTTATATATTTTTTCCGTTGCCACTCCTATATGCGTAGTCTATGCTACTTGTGTTACTTTCACATGACTGTGATGTGTCTAGGTAGTTCACTGACCAGTGGGTTCCCCACTCTGGAGGAGCTGATAAGAAATGGCTCTCTACTTGAGAGATATTCAACTCATGATGGGGAGATGAGGTCTGTACCTGGTGTTAGTGTCAGGTCCAACTGCTCTGGCCCCAACAGTCCTCGGATCAGTAAAATCACATTCATAGCTCTGCCTCGTCTTGAACCCGGTGGAGGTGTGACTGACATGGCTACACAAATAGTAATGAGAAATGATGGTGGTGCAGGTGGCCCACCACATGTTATTCTGACTATTAGAGAAACCATAACGCAACCTTTGGAGAATTTGGATATGAACTGAATGTGTCAGAAATGCCCGTGCCACCAGACACCAATGATGGAGACGTGTTAGGGATCAGACACGGAAGGAGTGGTCTGAGACTACTTCACCAGGTGGGAGACGAGGAGAGGAATATTTGCTGGAGATTTGAACCAAACTCCTAATTCTGATGAGTTATGTGAGCTTGACTATGACTATGACTACCCCTTACTGGCCATTGAAACAGGTATACAGTATATTGCATAGAGAGTCATTATTGTCATAAACTAATGCTAGTTCCACTGCTGTTACAGATCCTCCAGGGTGTATTGAGGGACTGGTGTCAGCATCTGAACTGAGGAGGCTGTGGGAGAACAGAACTCTACCTGTCCTCTACAGCAGTCCTGTGAGAATAATCTCACTGAGCTGTCCACCAGCCTCGAATATCTCAGGATACTAGTGGGAGCTTACCCTTCAGTGAATGGAGATGGACTACCTCAAATAAATATATTGGTGGTCATGGACAACGCTCAAACTTGCACTGTCTCTACAGAACCTGTCACTGAAGGAGTCAATGTGTATGAGTGTGTGCTAGACCCTGCAGTTGCAGGAGATGCAGTAGATGGAGAAGTCTCACTGACTATCAGTCAGAGACATGCAGGTAGTCAGATTGGCTTCCTTCACAATGGCCAGAATGACACTCCACTCATCTCCCTGGACGTCAGTAAGTAGCAGCTGCTGTGTGGAGAGAGTCCAGTGAGAGTGTTGCTGTTCTGTAGGTGGAGAGTGCAGCTCTAGTCAGCTACTGAGTGAGCCAGAGCTCATGGAAATGACTGCTCTCTACATCCCCTACATCATTGAGAGACAAGATGATGACTTTGAATATGAAGACCTGAACATCATGCAAAAATAGCATCCTCGTGAACTGGACTTTTGTCGGCAAGGAATATCGGACAAGGAGAGGAATACCCTAAGCTTTTAAAAATTATGGGTTTTACACAAAACATCATCAATAACATCAACTGTACTGAGACTCCCTATGCCAATGTGTATGAGTGCAGTGTGACTCCTGAACTATTTGAAGCTGGAGACAGCATTGGTATTGCTTTGCCAGCCAACAGAAGTGCTCGACTGCTACTCAGTTTCCTCTTCAGCGATAGAGGTCCAATTGGTGAGAGTCTGAATGGAAATGATGATATCAAAGATATTCCGCTCATCACATTGGGAGTGGGTAAGTCTCTTATAGCTATACAATTATTTCAAATTATTTCAAACCACCACACAGTTCCTAACAGTGTGACAACATCATCGACCTCAATGGTAAGTGTCTCTATTATGTTTCAATTCTTCACTCAATCCATAATATCATCAATCCATAACACCTTCAGTTAGCTACCATCCCTATTCCTCATCAATCCATTCTCCAGCAACCTAATCCCACCACCACCCTACTCCAATCACCATCTTCTGTCATCATCACTGGTTCTCCCACACAGTCAACCACCTCTGAAACTTCCCCCACTGAAGACACCTCAGACCCACAGTCCAGCAGTGACAATACTGGAGTGATAGTGGGTGCAGTGATGGGTCTTATACTGGCAGTCCTCCTGTTCCTGGCCGTGGTTCTCCTGCTAGTCTTCATACTCTGTCGGAGGAAACGCACCAAGTACGACGAGAAAGAAGAGGAGAAGAGAGAGATGACAGAGGAAGAGAGAGCAGCCATGGACAACCCAGTCTACTCAGGAGGTGAGGGAGTCATTTGGTCCAGTGGGCGACCTCTAGTCTTGTGTGGTCTCCTAATCGGTTCAAAGTCCTGGCACTTGCTCCAACCCACTGTCCCAGGGCGTGACACGGAGTCTGGCAGACCTGAAGACAGAGGCAGCAACCACATGTATGATGTCACCACCTCCCAACAACCCTCCTCATCAACCAACAGTGGACAGGTCTACGACGTCCCTGACAATACCCCCAGTAGTAATGACGGGAGGAAGATAAATGATTCATTTGACAACCCGGGCTACTACTCCACCATACACGAGGTCCACAGCACCACAGACAACTCGCAGATCGATGCAATGGTGAGCCCAAGTTTGCTTTCTCTGGCTCTGTTTGAGCCTCTGACTCCCTCCACCTCCACAGTTGTCCAGCAACCACTACGAGATGGAAATCTACGTGCCAACAAAGGTACCGTGGTGCAACTCCCTTTCCTCACAGTGATATGATAATACTCGCCGTGTTTTCGTTCAGGAACAAAGAACCTACGTGGAAAGTGGAGCAGTACCAAATGAAAATATTTACGCCACTCTGGAGGAGGTAAACACATCACGTTCAGTAGAAAGTTTTTCCCGAAGAATACGTGTTTGTGGTTCGGGTCAATGACAGTTATCAAACAAGACTCAAGAGGTTTGATCAGGGCTGATAGACCTACCCAAATTTGG